CTCGTCCAGCTTGGCCGAGAGTTTGCAACCTACACAACTCCAGTTTGCCACTATGAGTAATGCTCTTCTGGATGATTCTAGCCAGTGGCTGGATGATGGTGATGACTTCGATGTCTCGGCTCTTATAGCTGCCGAGAGTCAACGTCATGCGCCAAGCCAACGCTCTTCCAAATGTCCCGCCTATACCATAAACTGGACGCTGTGTTCAAAAAAAAACCGACTAAATAAGCTTACAGGAAATGCAGTACAGAATATCCAAGACTATCCCAGCGTTTATTGGGAGACCAGCCTAGGCTCAGAGATTGACGCGATAGTGAGAGGAAAGGGTTTAGGAAATAACTACGAGCCTGACGAAACTCAAATCACCATGACGATCAATGCGCGAGGCGAAGACGACGTCCCGAAACGGTATACAGGTCTCAATATCAGTTGGAGCCAAATCGATGACCAAATTGAAAGCTGGTCTGACCTTGTACATAAGGGGAGGAAGCTCACTGTTAAGATCATCTTTATATATAAAGAGACAGGTCAGCATATAGCAGCGAAGCGCAGCGGAAGAAGTGCAACAGCAGCTCAACTTAGTGAGAGAGCTTCCATCCAGAACCGCGAAGGTTCCACAGATGAGGTACCAATCTGGGAACGCGTATACGACCTCCTTGAATGTCCTGGAGCTGGGTGTGATGTAGGTCCATACTGCTGGCGTAATCCAGATACTGGCACTCGCCATGCAGTAGCAACCAATATCTTGTTGAAAATTGTCGACTATGTTGAAAAGGGCGGCAAATTTAATGAGCATAGCGACCTTCCTAAACACTATCGGAACGAAATTCTGAATCCACCAACAAAGCGGAAGCAGGGCGATGTGCCACAGATTAATATCACCAATGTGATACCCGGGGCCGAGTCGGCACCTCCAGCCAAGAGGGTTAAGATTGAAGGCCATCGGGATAACGCTGTACGCCAGTATCGCGATTGGCATTGCAGCCAGGTGGGCGATGAGAGCTGGAAAAAGGACTTCCATGCTATTGCTGATCTCACATTGCGGGCACGACTTACTCTTGAGCGGATCTTTGAGGCACAGGATGAAGAGATTCGGTTTTTTATATCCAATAAGATCCCTCGTGGTATTGCGCACCAGTGGGTTAGTATGGTGGATAAGTGGCCTGATAGTGAGCAAGTTTAGTTTCCTGATTTAGATATGTACATGTATCTTGAGTTATTTCATTGGATATTCTATTGTAATTCCTGAATGACTAAAGTGACCCTCTGCGCTGGCCTGCTTGATCCCAACTTGATGTATACACCACTTAAGGAATGTCGCGAATGGAAGACCTTTGGTATTCTGTTTATACCACTCCCTTCTCATATAATCCTTTACCTCGCCAAAATGCTCTTCTATAGGGTTTAAATCCGGGGAGTAAGGTGGGAGGAAGAGAATCTCTACGCCTGCAGGAGAACATAAGTCCCTTAGCTGTGATGCCCTATGGAAGCTGGCATTATCCATGACGAGAACAGACTTGGGCTGCGGGAAATTGCCACAATGGCGAAGCAACTGTTTGATGAAGTCCTCAAATATAATATGGTCTGTTGAACCTCGAAAAATGCGCGAAAGCATTACGCCTTCTTGAGTATATGCAGTAATAAATTGATGCCTCTTCTCCCTTTTAAAATCTGCTGTGTGAACTGGGGTTATTCCTACAGGAGCCCAGCCTTTGCGCCGTTGCACTGTTGAAGTGTCGCAACCAGACTCATCGATGAATATGAGGTGATAGGACTTGTATTTCGCTAATTTATGATGGTACAGATGCCGCAGTAATGAGTTCCTTTGATTCGCAACCCGACGAGTTGACTTGTTAGACCACCTTATAGTTTGTAAAGCACGAGTGATGCTACTGAGTGATACGTCTACTTCATACTCAAGCTGTAGGAATAGTTTCATTTCCTCGCGATACATGCATGGCCTCTTCATTAGTTCATGGCATAATGCTTCTAGCATACATGATGATATGCTTCGATGGCGTCCGGTCCTATTCGGCGGCGGTCGTGTGGCTCCGAAACGACGCAGATTTGAGCGTATTCGACGGATAGCGCGTTCGCTACATTCGACTTTCCTTGCAATTTTTCTGGTTGATTTTTCGCTATACAGTAGAGCCTTAATCTGCTTGTGCTTAGAGTCAGTCAGTTGTCGTGCCATTGGTGCTGTTCGGTAGAGTTTGGAAAGAGCTGTAATCGGCCAGAAAGAAGGAGGGAACGGGGGAATCAAGACTGGGGGGGTTGATGAGTACCTGAACTACCAGTCCTTGATTCTGTAGCACAATGAAGCCATTTTTAGACTAGCTCGTGAACATATGAAAGACCGTAGGCACACTGTGTCAGCCACATGTGGCTGACTATGGCACTAAAAATCATAATGTTCATTAAAGAGAAAAAGCGGACACTCCTTTCGGTCGACCCTGTATGGATCTTCTTTTAGGTCTGTAGTTATACACCCGTATTGGTCTCAGAATCCGAGCATATGTTGCTACGCGTAATTTCAATGACATTTCTATAGAGTCAATGATATTTAATGTAGTGTCTGTTTTCTCTGATTGCGTATGTATTAGTCAGTACACAAAGGTACGTATGTATGTACATACATACAGTACCATAAAAGTGTTGATATTATTTTTCCTTCTATGGTTGTCGTCCCATAGACGATGTAATTAGGTCTGAACGACATCACAGGCGAAAGAGCCCTCTACCAAACTGTCATTTGTCAAAGTGCATCTTGCAAATCACACCTTCGCAAAGCGCATTGAAGGGTCTAGTCTGATCTCTCATGTGTATAAGCTTTGGAAGAATAATCACCACGCAATTGAGGTGTGATTTACAATTATTGAACACTATAGTTGCTTTTCCTCCTAGGGCCCCGTTCCTCCCTCGACTTTGACCGCTGGCGTTGGCAGTCCAAGCGGTTGTCGGACATATGGGCGCTTTTCTTAGATATTGCGTAGCTTCGCAGTGGGATGCGGGGCTTTCTGACGATGCAATTGGCTGAGCACTATTCCTTCCGCCACCTTTTTAGTGACTTCACTCAGCCCTTTTTAGGTCGGATCACTCTGGAGGTCTTTAGGGTTACAGCAAGAGCTAAGCCCTTGCATTACCAGGGCTTATCAGAGCAGCAACAGCCACACAATCTGCTTCTTTTGAGAGTTCACCAGATTCTGCCCGCTTAAGCAGCAGACCAAGTGAGGTGGGGGAAAATCGGGTCAGGACTCTGCGGTCGGAACAGCTAAGTAATGAGGAGTTTTAAAAAGGCTACTGCCGACTCCTCTTCTTTTGGCGAAATCCAAGTCGCTTCAATCTACCCTATTCTGTTGTTTCCGCGTCGTTCAGATGTTGACCGCGGGAGACCCTTTTGCCCTACCTGACGGGATTCTCCCGCTCGAAGCCAGCTACCGTCTCCTCAATAGGCCAGCTAGCAAGGGAAATATCGTACAGACGATTCAACAGCCTCGAGACCTGCCTTTCAATTTAATTAACCTACAATGCGCTCTTTGGAATGCCCTCTTTTCTTCCCGAATTCGACAAGTCAGCCGACGGACCAGCCGGCACGCCCGCCTTCGCGATCACGATAGAATCTCTCTGCTGTATGTGTGCGGTTTCCGCCCGAACCCAATCGCCTGCTCCACTATATTCTTACTACGAACGCCCGGCCTAAAAATGCGCCCCCCTTTGTAAATTTACCACAAATTAGAAAAGCGGACACTTGTTTTAGCCAACCTTATATGTACATACTGCCTAGATGTAGATCAATATTAGTTTTCATGTCCCAATTTTAAACTTGCTTCCGTACGAAATTTGGGCTCAGCTTTTGCTCATTTTGTCTTCGGGTATAAATACTCAAGAGGGCGATAAAATCCTCGTACAATATACGGTATATGGGTATGGATGAACACACCTACCTAAACATATAGATTCCACAATGTATAAATCGGATATTCTACGCACAATACTAGTGGGTTTATTGCCTAAAACATGTACCTCACTTCCTTGGACGCCATCAGATTATGCAGGTGTACATCTCGAGGTCTTTGGAGCCGCTGCGCTGCTGTATAAAGGTAACATCCGAGCAGACAATGAGTGGCACCCCCTGGATATAAAAGAATCCGTCACAAGAGTTTATCATTCATGGGACAATCCTTTAGATGAGTTTTCATGTGTATACTCTCCTGCTGCTGCGCTAGAAGGAGTAGATCGCCAAGATACAGGAGTATGGTATAACTTGGCGCCACCTAAGCCTGTTAGCGAAGTGTTTTGCTGGCTTAGTAATACAACTCAAAATTCCTAAGCTGGATAATCTGATTAGTGTCCATAGTCAATAATAATCTTTACAATCTTTACAATCTTTACAATCTTTACTCCGTATAAGGGGACGTAGAAGTTGGTGCGATCGCGGCGGTGTCGCGAAATGGACGCGATTGCTGATGAGATCACGGTGCGAGGTGGAGATTCCATCACTGCAACGCGTCGGTCTGCAAGACCCATGAAGCCGACTGCTAAACTGCAAGAAAATCTACAAGCGACCGAGAAGACCGATGCGACAAGGAACAGGAGACCACATAGATTGAATGAAGGTGGAAATGGATGTGAGAATGGACTGACCAAGAGGGCCGGAGAACCACAGATGACGGCAGAAGGCGCGATGGGCAACAATGCGTCGCTCATGCAGCTCATGCTTCGAGCGATGGTTCAGGAGACGTCGACCCATTTGATGAGTGAATAGAAGAAGATGTTGGAAAGACTCTGGGACACGTTAATGGAGAACAAGCGGACGGCAACGCAGATGATGAGTGAACAGCTGGAGATGATACGCCAGCTTCAGCAGGAGATGATACGCCAGCTTCAGCAGGAGATGATACGCCAGCTTCAGCAGGAGATGATACGCCAGCTTCAGCAGGAGATCCAGACGATCAAGGCCCAGGCAGCCGAAGAATTGAAGAAGACGGATGAACAATGTACCAGGCAGCTGGAGATAATGCGAGAGCAGACAAGCCCTTTTTAGCATATACGGTTGAACATGATCACTGACAAAAGAAAAGGGGCTTAAAGCTACGAATGATGTGAGAAGATCGATCTTTTCTATTATTAGCTTGACGAGCTACCTTGCCACTAGATTCTGAGAATCATAGACCATTGATGCTCTCACGAATAGTAAAAACCTCTGGCTAAGAAATATCAGCAGTATCTGATTTTGGAAGATAATTTTTGCATGGATGATATTACGAATTCACCCCTCACCACGTCAAGCATACTCCGAGAAGCCTATCCACTATTAAAGGATTCATCCCATTCCAACTCAAAGTCTCATGCTGTCCTGTTTACAAGACATCCCGACAGCAAGCTGCTGCGGGTATAACCATCTGTCTCCCGCACAGCGTTGGAAAGACTTACCATTAATACAATTCCATTTGTTTGTACGAGATTTCAACCTCTTGCTTCGTTGTATATAAAGCCCGCGGTCAGCTTCAGAAAGAGTCTTTGCTGTGATGAAAAGGTGAAATTCTGGGGTCCAGAAATGGTAAGAAACGCTCTTGACCACAGGGACCCATGAACGAACCCGTTTAATGTACCAACTATGGGGAAGCTAATCTTGTCGGCAACCTAACCGCATTGCGCTACGAGCCATTTAGCAACAGCTTCCTGAATCTGTTGTAGGCGCTACCTTTATCGCTCATCTGGCGGTAGAGTACAACCTTATGTTCCAGGTAGTTACCAAAGTTTTGATTGTTGAAGTATGTATTCAACAAGGTGCACAGCGTATGGAAGTATGCCGGGAATTCCCATGCCAGTAGCAACTGGGATAACACTGGCATATGAGTCAAATTGGAGCTCCTTCCCAAAGGCCCCTCAACGATGACCCGAAACAATGTTTGTCGGCAATTATTAGGTCTGGGAATATAGATATTGTGAAGCCACGGCTTTCCTCTATTGTGAGGACGGAAAATATAACATGATCCTCCTCTTGTGACCATGCAACATTGAATGGATGAAGCTGTCCAACCTGGCTAGATTTTGGAAAAGAAGATGAAAAAAGCGCCCTGTAATCACTATGGCTTGCAAGATCACCGCCACAAGGGGTTGGTAACTTTTGTACGACTGTTATGTGGTGTAGGCATATGGTTGTGAGTCCTATAATGGCCAATATAAGATGCGAGGCTCGGAACATTTTCATACATTGGATGACGTAGCATTCGACTGCGGCCTGTTATATTGCCAGACTATCCCTAATGTTAAAAGCTAGCTAGTAGGGCACTCATAGAAACACCTGCGCCATTTGAGGCGAGGCCGAGGTCGGTACCTCGAGCCGATTTTACTGCAATACCGTGGACGATCCCCTCCACAACAACTGTTCTGCCAAGCTATCTGTGAGCTTTGATACATGAACCTATTTCAAGACCGCAGAGACTTGTTACGATGTTCATTTACCCACTCAGAAAGAGGGGCATCATCCTTATAATGGCAACAAGTTGGAATTTGGAGAAAGGAATGATGGAGATCATAATATGATTATCCAAAGTCTGAATCGATAGCCTAAAATTAGTCCCTCGGCATACATTCTGGAAGGGAACGATAGGACAAGAAAAGACTCGGACGTATAAGGCACTATTATGCATACAATCAAGATATAATACAGCAGCATGTCCCGCTGTCTTTCTCAGGTAGCATAAAAACTAATGCAACTATCTGGTAATTTTGGAAAACTACTCATGTCGAGTTTTTCTATCTTTCTTTGTTTTACCTTCTCGGAGTTACTCATGGCTTCTTTGACTAAGTCCCTCATATCCTCAGGCCCATAATGCACCGTGGAACTCGCTTTCTTCTATCATCGCGTTAGAAGTGATCTTTTAATTTGTAATTGAGCCTACCTTATTCTGGATCTGGTCTTGGAGTACATAGCCTTCAGACTCGTACCAAACCAGCTTGTTCTTATTTGTATAGAAAATATACAAGCCTACCTCGACTCCATTCAATTGCCCATATCTGAATGCTTTGGTAAGGAGCCCTTTCAAGTTCCTTCTAATCTGCTTCTTCTCCTGTCTTGTTTTTTGGTCGGTCATTCTTTTTTCCTTGCTTTTGGATCCGCTGTAAAGTAGTTACACTATGAGACATAAGCCATTAATGGTCTTGCGTTCTTATAAAAGAAAACTCTTCGCCATATGCGCCCTCTTCTAGCGCCAAAGAAGTCATTTAGGGTCTAAGTTGGCCCCACAGGTCGGCCCTATAACTCGGGATTTATAGCTCCTTTTGGTATCATACAGCGGCAGTCTTTGGACCGACCCACGGGAAAATCTTGAGATTTGCAACTTCATTACTATCATGCAGCGATAGCCATCCAGGGACAAGTTCTGGGTCTTTGCAGTTGCAAGTATTCGATAGTCCTGACTTAAAACAGCGAATTTCCACCTGGAAATTCTGCGGTAGCTGCATTTGTAACTCTCTCATAACACCGATCATGAGTACACCATCGAGAGAATTTCTTCCAGTTTTGGCTCCTGCTCCTCCCCCAACTACCTACTACGGGAGTCAATCACCCAGAACCCGTTCCAATGTGTGTACCCCAACGGGGAACGGCGATGCTGCTTTCTCAGACGTGCTACAACCACAACTATTCTCTGTAAGCTTGCTAATACTGTTGGATTTGACTTCAGTTCTAATTTACGGGGTGAATAATATAGGATGATTCTTTTGCGCAAGATTTTGAATGCGTAGACCGGGTGCTAAGGAGGTTGCACCACGGGTGGAAAACGAACGTACATCTTTTATGGAGGCTGGGTGACGAGAACAGCTTCGTTAAACACGAAAACGCAATGATCAAAGAAAGAATTACAAGTGTGAGAGATCAAAATAAAGAGCTATGGGCCAGCTTGTCTAAAGTTGCAAAAGATCGCGATACGCTACAAGATGATAAAAGGGTTCGAGCTGAGCTTGAAGTGAAGATTACAGAACTCGAGACAAATTATCAAGCAGCAATGGCGCTTAAAGAGCATCTGGAAAAGGATCAAGTGGCGACGATGGATTCGCACGAGGCCTTCAAAAAGAGTGTTGAAGAATATAAAAATCAAGCCGAGACGGAGAAATCAACTCTGCAATACCGGCTCGATCTTACCGAACAGAAGCTCACTTATATTCAGAAACAGCTTTCGTCAGTTTATCCTCATCTTCATGATAATTTGGATAACATCATAATGGTGCTTCAGGCTGCGGCGGAGCAGGATAGGCTTGCGAAGGAGGCACTTTTATCTCATTTTCCTGAAATTCACTCCGATTTTGGTAATCTGGGAGAGGTTTTACAGGTGGTTGGAAAACAGCACAGTTTGATGAGGCGGGAAATCCTATCCCGTTTCCCTGAGATTCACTCCGATTTGCGTAATGTGGAGGAGGTGCTAGGGGCGGAGGTGCTAGAGACAGAATCCCTGCCCAAGGCGAAGCGCGCGCGCCGCAAGCGTTAGCTAGGAGGCTATTTTCCGTCTCTTACTACTCTTACTCTACTACACACCCTTTATAGCCGATTTATACGGCCGAGCTTCTTTGTTCAGCTCCTTTTATTTAGCCCAATATCTTGGTTTCTTCCTTAAATATAGCGATCTATATATATGATTTCGTGGGAAGCTGTAATGTTCATCCGTTCATATAAAGTAATTATACCATTATGCTAATACCACTCTACTACCAATTAAACAACCTTATATTATATTTCTAGTAGACTTAAGTAGTAAATAACTACTAAACTAGGGTAGTAAGGCTATAGCTTCAGGGCTTTAGATCTAGTGGTTGTAGTGATTTGACGGAATCGATGAAGACTTGGGGATGCACAAGGGTGAGGGGTTGCAAATTTATTTCACTACATTATCTAAGGGGGAAAAAGAAACACTAAAGGAAAAGCCACCCGCCGTGGCCTCTGACAGCTTCCACATTCGTCTGCTATAAACATTGCTTGGGGTCAACACATACTGAGGGCCATCTATAGCGACCAGCATGTTTTGGGAAAAAAGGCAAGATGATACACGCATATTTACATTACCTCTAGTTTTTTGAAATTAAAATTAATTTCATATTAAGCACCATGATCGTATGGTGAAAGTTGCGAAGCACAGCGTATAGTTTTCTTTTCCCCTATTAGCGCGATCGCTTCTTACCCATGCGCGTAAGCATGCGTAGGTGGCAATAGCCAAATACGAATGAAGCCCAGACACTCTGGTAAGCTTGTCATTTATTCAGAACTCTCGCCTATGTAAGGGAGCCTCCCACCTCAAACTTTCCCTCGCCACACAACGTCATACCATAAAGAGTAGCCCAATGTGATTCTCTCGCCATCATCAGCAAAATTATGCCTCTCTCCCGTAAGTAGCTCCCCTCCAATTACCTTGTATACAGTCGGCGAGACTGTCACGGGATTTACACTTTCACTACCCAAACTTATACCCAGGCTATAGATGTTACGCTAAAGCCGGGAGTTATAGCCATGCCCTATCTTCCGAACGAGACTTTCTCAAATCTTGGCACATACTTGAACGCATCTTCCCTATGTCGAATGGAAAGGGCAGATAGAAGACTCCGCTTCCTACTTGATGATCGCTTATATACTCTTAATACCCTTAGCTATCTACAGGGGTGAGAGGAGATACCAGGGCCCAGTCGAGGGCAAGCTCTAGATCCTCCCGCCTGTTCTGCAGTTTTGAAAATGGAGAGAACACTGCCATCTCCCTGGGCGCCGCTAATGACAACGTAAAGACTGCCAGGATGGAACTTCAGGCCGTTCTGCGCGTTTTATCTCAATGAACAGGCACTGGAATCGGATTATTATAAAGACATCGTCTCGGGACAGTGTTCGAATCAAGGAGATAGCCTAGGCGCATGCGAAATTGCCTGTCAGTCTCACCAAGAAGATATTGCGTTGCTTATTATTAAGCTAGGACATAGTGGGATAAAGCGTAGGTCAGTCGCATAAAGAGTTGTGGCGGTTTGCCATCCGCTACAGATGGTCAAGGGTAGTCCATGCTCCTCCAGAGATCTAAAAAACAGCCAAATCCTATCAATTCGAAACTTATTGGCTGATCGTGTAATTCTCTATTCTGCCAAGGCGTGGTGAAAATAGAAGATAATTAAGACATTGGATATGATTTTGTTCTACGTGAATTCAAGGGCTCTAGCTGTTTCATTGTGTACTTATACAGTCAGATTCAGCGCAAAGGAACATCTAAGTTAACAGCAATAGCTTATTCCTGCTAGTTGGTAGTGCACTAGGAGCATTGATTGTGCTCACAAGGAACCCGTGACTGTTGCTCTCTTGTATATTGAAGTACTGCGGTGCAAGTGGGAAATCATTAGGTCTATCTTTTGCGTGGTTTAGAGCTACTTTTGTCAGAACTATCTAGTCGAAAATTTCAACCATAAGCAGGCTCTCAAACGAGTACTCGTAGACTCCATCGACTTTGATTATGCTCGTCAAGCTCTCTAGCTCGCTTGTGTACCATACGCTACCTCTAAATCTAATAAACGCTTAGGTCGAGATCTAGAAACATGGGCACTCTGAGATGAAAAAAAGTATAGGGTAAGCAGGCAAGAAAGCAAGAAAGGGCTATTAAGCTCTGAAACCTAGATGTTTTTAAAAGCCCAACAGCTTGATATTAACCTATAATATGATAGTCTACCTTAAAGTCTTATAAAAAGAGGCAAAATTAACCCAAGACCTCGTTCTAGCTTGATACTAGCGGCATTACATTCATAATAGTATTCCGCACCTCTGTCATAGTCTCCTGCATCTTCTCCAGAATGCTCCTCTGCATGTCCTCCCGGCTCTTATTCACGTCCAATATATACTGGCCATGATCTAGTTCTAGCTTTCTTACTCGCTCTGCGAGAGACCGTGTTTAGGGTGAAGTGATGACTTTGTCTCTTTAGAAAATTTGTCAGGTCATAGATGTAGGAAAATTCTATGAACCTTCGCACGGATGATTCACTTGCCGTCAGGACAGTGGCTCGTCGAATGACTATCAAAGCTGCTTCTTTGAAGCTGCCTTTCTTGAGATGACGCGGTATATTAAATCATCAATGGCACCGAGTAACGCAGTGTCATTAGCATCTACGTCATAGAAGAGCTTGGAAAGAAGATATTTCTGATACCCGTTGGCAGGTTGTATAATGCGTGATGAGAATTGATGGTGCTGAGCTGGAGGGGGGAAGGTGGAGGATAATAGAACGATGGTGACGGTATCGGTTTGGGTGTAGGTTTTATAACTCTAGTTAGTTGATTCAAGCTCTACATAGTTGGCTCTCCTCGTTGAAAGTTGCAAGAAATACAACATTGGCTGACACAGCGACACTAACCTTATCTTTTGCCTCTTCTCTCTACACCTACATTCAACTTCACAATTATTGTTTAGCTACCAAAATCGAAGCTATAGATGGATTATAGTCTTAAGCTATCTGATGCTGTCTGAGAACTTGCTGCCGGTGTCAGGGATGGACTAAGCATCGGAAACCCTAATCACCTCGCAGTAAAGTTCCGAAATAGGAAGGTTGGAAGCTGATTGCATGATGGCTTGCTAAGGGGAAGGGGCAGCCCGCATACATCATGTGATTGCGTCATAGCAGAAAACCGACACCCAACCTCATCGTGAAAAGATGGTGTGAACGAGCCAACAGGTGGGACAAAGTTTGGGGCTGATGCGACAAATTCTGGGATTCATTGTGATGGTGGTGTGGAACCACAAGCTCATAGCCCAACCAGCCGAATTTTAGTACCTTATTGCCCTCAAGAAACCTGCTTACCCGTTTATGACTTAAATCCAGCACATTTCGCGATTGAATCATCGTTGGTTTGTTCCTTTATTCTCTATCTTGAACGCTCAAAATGGCTACTGTGAAGCAAGAGAGCGCATCGGTTACGAAGCCCAGTTCTCCCGAAATGCAAACACCCAAGCCCCCAGCAACCATCTTCCCCCCCCCACCCATCGACACAAATGTAAGAACAAACGTTGCCAAACTTAGACTTTCACGTCAGCTAGATCATAGCCTTTTTGACTCTACTGATACGAATGCATAGGGGGGGGAGAATGATTCGATGGACCGAGACATTTGGGTAGCAGTTAACACTTTGACGAACGTCCGCCAAGAACTTCGGTCCTTGGTGCGTAAGCTTGAGGAGCAGACTGCAGCCCGCCTTAGCGATCAAGCTGAATTCAAAGAAAAATTCTCCAATATGAGCAGCAAGTGCCATGAGATGGGTGCGCAATATCAGACCCTGTACGACGTGTATAGTTCTGTCTATATGAACCACCGCAGCCTACAAGAACGCTGCACCACTTTAAGCGCTGATCGAGAGGAAGAAAAGCGCTTGCTTGGAATAAAAATTCAGAGAGCCGATGAGGAGGCCGCTGCACAAGAGAAGACCATCAAAGAGCTCAAAGAGAACATTGACTATAATGAGACAATTCTAAGCGAGTTCAAGGAGTGTATGGAGGAATTTACCAACAAGCTAGACAAGCTTGAAACCGAAAGAGACGAGCTTGAGACCGAGAGAGACAAGCTAGCAATCAAAAATGAAAAGGACACCGTACTCATCGACCACTTAAAGAAGGATCGGCTGGAAATGGCAGAGTTTCAGACACATACTGTCAAAGCACTTGAAAGCGAGATCCAAGAACTTAAAGCTATCCTAGAGAGGGTGAAGATCGAGCTCTTTCCACGTTACCCCAATATGCATGATAACTTGGACAATATCAAGGAAGTCCTGGAGGAGGATGGAGACACTCGGAAAGCCAAAAAGCGAAAGGCGAGGGCATAAGAATCTTGGAGGAGTATGTACTTAGCATGTTTAGTTTTGTATTGTTCTTCTTAGTTATCATTTATCAACCATACAGAATTTTCCGATACAATGAGATATATTTCTAGCTCAAATCCCTAAATGTATATACCCGGTGCCCAAAAGCTGGTGGTGAGACTGTTGAGGATACAAATGTAAATAACTTGCCGACCTTCTATCAGCTAGAGCAGCAGCTACGCTTGTTAGTCATATGTACCAATACCCAATCAGAGATCTAATTCGTCGTGTAGATTAATTCCAACGAGCAAAATAACGCGAGGCTATTGAAAAATTGACTATAGGAAATGCTTTTGGCAACAAAAGTTGGTCTACCAGGCACGGTCCGCCAAAAATCTAGACTTTCTATCTCTGCTTCAAACCTCCCCTCAGTTTCACACTTAACCATGGCGGAACTCACTAATTCTAAGGCCCTAGGGCATAGGAACGCCCCTTTTCGCAGTAAAACAAAGGAAATAAACCACTTCCGATCCTAGTCTAGATTCCAAACCTCCATTAGCAACGGCGTGCTGGTTGGGGAATGCGAGGAGTAGGGCGCTCTTAGAGCGTTCGAGGTTGATAAATAACCCAGCTTTGGGCAGCGTGATCCTTGCCAGCATGGAACATACGATATCTTCCATCAACATAGCAAAGCACAACAGTAAAGTCATTGACGTTAGGCACAGCGAGACGAAAGCCTCCAACAAACGTCAGGAATCCCTTGAGAGCCCCATTCTGTCTCAGATTGTGGCGGACAATCCCATGCCTCATATTCCACAAAGGGAGGTTAATTGCGAAATCATCAGCCCCTCTAAATGGCTTGGGAAGATCTCGGATCGAGACCTTTGTGCATATGTTAAGCACAGTATCAGTCTTGGCCCGGAGAGTAGAGCCTTCACGAACGAAAGGTTGAACTTCTCAATCTCTGACCAGAATCTCGGTCGAAATTGAGTGACGAGGATCTGAGTACCTATGAACCATGAACTTGAGTTAGGTAGAGGGGATGTTGCAATCCTCAATCCGACTACCAACGAAGTCTCGCAAGGTTTGCCGAATCTAGTGATCGCAGAGAAATCCGCATTGGCTCGGCGCCCACGTGTTAACGGTTTGCAGAATGCATGATGTTTTTGGTAGCAAAAGGCGATCAGCTTACTAATAGTTCGCAGAATGGATTTTGTTCTAGGTAGTTAAAAAGTTTAGATGATGCTTGGCGCAATGCGTCATGTTCTCGGTAGCAATAAACCTATTAGCCTATTGATAACAGTTCGCAGAATACATAATGTTCTCGGTAGCAAATGCGATCGACTAATTCGCAGGATGTATATCGTTTGCGGTAAGAGCTAGCGAATGTAACATCATAGCGTTGCAACCTGCTACTGTATGCACAACAGCTCACAGTGCGTTATTCTGCCATCGCAGACTAGGTGTTAAATTAATTTACATTTGGCAAAGGTAACACGTTAGCGACCCCATGGACAGTAGGTTCTAGAAGCTAGCGGTTTTGGTGCACCCCTATTTCGCCTAGTCCACGACATAAGTCAGCCACGCCCGGAAGCCTAACCCCACCAAGAGATATAGATGGCACCCTGCTTTGGTTCTCGATCTGTCGATTGTTTAATTCCCCCAGCAACTTTGACATCTGAACCCTCGCCTGCTTCCTTGCCGCTTGCTCCTCGGTTTGGCTTCCAAGTTGCTTGATTACTTCCTCAGTCTTATTCTTTGGCTCAACAAGAAACCTCTGTTCGTCAAGCAACTTAGTCTGGTCATTCAGCATGCTCCGCTGCAGGTTGATCTGATCAAGTGCCTCAAGAGCTTTTCCGTATTGCCCCTCAAGCTCCTTGGCCTGTAAATCAAGTTCCTTGTATTTAGTAGTAAGCCGGGTGTCCCATGCATATAGTTGCCGGCAAATTGTCCTGATTCCCTCCGTCTTTGCTTCGTTGATAATTTGTTTGATATAAGTCGTAAATTCATTGAGCTGATCTTCTGCCTCCACCCGAAGCAACTCCTTTGCAGCCTTGACTTGCTCCTCAAGCCTTTGTCTGTGTATGTTTAGATGATCATCTGCTTGGTCGCTGAGCCGCTTCCTATATTCATCGAGTTGCTCGTCTGCCTCCTTAGTTTGCTCCTCAAGCTGCAAGGTTTCTTCCACCTGTACCTTGATACAATCTGCTTGCAAGCATCTTTTCTTTGGTTTGTGTCTCAGTTGGGGTGGCATAATTGATGGGCCGAGCAAGCTTATAAGGTGATATATTAATCAATAGTAGTGCAAGGGATCAATGAGGCAGCAATTTGAGCCGTATATTGAAATAAATTTAGGACTTTATAAGTGAAGCGGAAAATAGGATTTTCTTCAATGATATAGTGAGTCCCGGGACCGAGAAATCTGCTGTAAAAAATGTGTGTACTGAAAATTGAAGCCGCTCGCCGAATGCATAGTGGTTCCGGTATTAACTAGCGATAGTTGAATGTATGAACCAGCCTAGGCCGTGTATATCAGAAACCCCTACGAGCTAACAGTTCACATGGCGATCGAAGTATAGATATCTATATGTCTAGCTAGCTATACATTGACGGTTGATGGAAAATCACGGTATTTTCGATAGCAATAAGCGATCCATTACTAGATCTTTATAGCTAACTGTAAATTTTTCTGGTGACTCTGGAACCTTGTAGCTACCATAAGGAGATTATAAGTACAAGTGCAAAAGCTTAGCTTTCAGTATACCCAAGCAGAGAAGATAACTATAAATCGAACAGGTGAAGAATTAGTCATTAGCCCTAGTTATCCGTATTTATCATCAAGCAATCCAAATATAGCCGATTTTAAAAGTTTATACGCCCCCATTCTCAGTTTTCATTACCATGTGACTCGCCTTACGATATGTTCTACCAAGACTCGTTATTAGCTCACCCGATCCTTATCGATCTTCAATATGCGGCTAGTTGCTTTTTTCTCCATTTGGTCTGAATATTTTTCCAGAAGATATAATATATAGTTTGGACTCCAGTAGGTAATTGTAACTTGAAAACCAGTGTATAACAGTAGTATCTAGAAGTGAAGTAGACAAATGCGGTCTTTAATCTTTCCGCGTGTGATAAATTACCTACCAGACCACTTTCCTATCAAAGATAAGGGCTGCTAGGCCTGGATTGCATCTCCTACAGAGGTTTTCATCGCTAGCTAGATATGTATTAAGCGCAGCAGAGTCTGGAACATCGTGTAACTCCTCCCAGGACTCAGTTCCATTATCCCACTGGCAGGAGAACAGCCGTTTTCCGTTCTCCTCCTTATCGCCAACAATTGTTTCCAACCTTTCCTTGCCTGCCTGGCCCTTGCGACTAGGAAGTTTGATAGGAGGTGCGTCCGGGTATATAGCCTTCTTCTTCTTAGGTAGTGTAATAGCTCTTGATGTAGGATAACCAAGAATCTGGACTCTCCTGTCGCCATTCGGTTTAACCTCCAACTCACAAAGGATCCTGGCTTCCAGATTCTGATCCCTTCCTTCCAGCTCTTTTCTCTTCCAGCTTCCCGGGCCACAACCCCAGTAGGTGCACACGGCAGAATTGTACCTGGATTGAAGAGTCTTTTCTGGTACCCAGAAACGCTCTCCGTTTTCTAAATACTTTAGCAAGTATATCTCCCCATCCATCATTTCATCACCGTTAATACAAAGAAATGGATCTTCCTCCGGCTTAAGAGCACTCGCCTCCTCAGTACTCTCAAGTTGTTGATGATCATAATCCAAAGTTGGCTGACAGGTAGTTTCATCGTCGCTCTCAGCATTCTCGCGTAGAGGGTTCTGTTCGTAGTCTAGGCCTTGCATATTGTCATCCTTCTGACCAATAGAGCCAATATCTTGCGGGCCGGTTTGGCTGTTTGTTCGGTCCTCCTGATCACAACTAATGTATAGGCCGAGGTGATTGACTTGATCTTGGCTGCCATCGTTGTCCACCCCATGTGATTTGGGATTCTCGACATCCGCCAAACGTGATTTTTCTTGGCCGCGCCAGTCATATCCATTCGCGTCCTGTTTTTCGCCGCTACCGGCGGCAGCCGTACACGGACTTATCTCCAGATTGAGATTCTCGGCACCAGGGACACCCGGATGATTTTGACTAGAATCATCCATATCTACTGGCATCTGCTGTTCGATAGCGGGTTTGAGGGTACCATGGACTAGGCTGCTAGGCGCCTTCCCTCCTCGTCGATGACGCTGTAGACGTCGTTTCTTTAAGGCCATTCTGGTGTCTTCACGATAATCGGAGTATAAACAACAAGAAATCTAGTCATCATTCTTATCTGCGGAATAGCACGATCATAGATGAGAGACCCACCTTACCCTTCATCTTGAGTTGGGCTAGGGCCGAGGCAGCCTCAAGTTGGGCCCACCTCCGGGTTTTGGTGATTTACGGCGATAGACATTCGCCATATCTCTCGCCGTTTGATACCCCTTTAGGTACCAACATGCTGGTTAGTGGTTGCAAGCTATGATTTAATTCGAGGGCGCGGGCGTCACTACACAGCATAAAGGTAACGTTTTGCCATATGTTGCTTTGCCATATGTTGCTTTGCCATACGTTGCTTTCCCATGCATTACTTTACCATATATTACTTTACCACCAACGATATCATTGCCTAATATGGTACGATTTAGCTCAAGAAAGCAAATCGCAAAATACTTCCAAATATCCGAGAAAGAGGTCTCATCTCGATTTCCAGATGCAACTCCGAGGTTCTTCTCTTCATTACTTCAACTAGTCGGAAGGCATCCTGGGAGAACTTGGGAAGAAATATGTTCTGCCATACTTGAAGCAAGAGCGCAATCTCAGCATCATTCGCACATCAGACACTTTGGCCGCAAGCTCTGTGAGATAGCTGGATCACTTCTTCAGAGCCAGAGGTACCCAAAAACATGGGCAACTCTCAAATCTCTCAGCAAGGCTGCTGAAGAGATGGTTGAAGTTATTTCTGCGGATCACGAGAGCCTAAGAGAGCTAGGAATGAACAAAAAAACGATTATCTGGTTCGACTTCCTGCCAGGCTTAGCCTTAATCAACCATAACCACAATAGTGGCGAGTTATATTATGATCGAAGGGGCACAGAACAACATTTGGAATCAAGAATTCTAGAAATTTATCCTAGCTTCCCAACTCTTTCATGGCATTATACCCCGACAGAGGATAGGACAGGCACGAGAATCGACACTGATCTACAATTCGCTACAAGAGCATTCTGCTTCTCTTTAGGCTGTAGGCTAAAGCAGCTATCTTTTAGCGCTTGGGGTCTCTTTCTTGAGGCTTTTACCAAATCCGAGCCTACCAAAGGGGAACAATGGCATATAGATTCCCATATTTCTCAAATTGCCTCTATCCTACAGAGCTTTAGCACAAAAAGTGTAAAGCTGCTACAATATAAACAAAGCTCTATGCCAACAAATATTGTAGGGCCCGTTATATTCTTATCAGTCGAGGATTTAGCTATCCTCAGGGACTGTAATCATCTCTCCATTTTTGCCTCAAAAAGTCCACCTACAGGGCGGAAGCAGCGCGGGATTAGAGACTATCTCGGCATCCCGGGCTCCACGTGGGCGGTATTCCCCGGTCTTGATATCAACTTTGGCCTACTTCTAGCAGCATTCAACTTCCATATGGGAGTCGAGATAGCGTCTCCAGACAAGGATATGTCCCAGGACCTATTAGGTCTATGGAGGAGAGTTTTCCTCCACCTACTACTTTCTTACAAGAGCTCCACAAAATATACATTTTGGATCGGACTTTCCCTCGAGAAGCATATTAGTGAGAACCCATTCACTAGTATTAAAGTGTGTTTCTCAGATAATGAAATTTTTGGTAAACCAGATGCCTATTGCCTATCCAAAGGTGTATTGCATACAATGAGAACCCGTCTGGGTTCATCCTTCATAGAACTCCACGGTGAAGATGAAGCATTCATTCACCAGTCTGTCTTAATGGCACTCCTTACTTCTGAATATGCTGCTATAAATATCCATTTTATGGATTGGGAGAAAACAAAAAAAATCTTCATCGACACACTGCTTCGCTGTTGTTATGGCGAAGTGATTCTTCTTCTATCTTTGAATGCGTCTCATGCATTTGAGTCGAAGAATCTATACAAACAAATCAACGTTTTGAAGCAGCTGGGAATCCGAATACGCGCCTATCCCAGTGAATTTGAGACACAGTGGTATAATGGGAAAATTGGGGATATCCGCGTATCAGATGAAATCGCTGCAGACCTCGGAGTCAGGCGGCCAAAGACGTGCTTTGGCCAGGGCATCTGCAAGTTGACAAATCCAAAAACCCCTGTCGTGCTAAAGCGAACAGAAAGTTCTGGTGCAGCTGATGTACACTTCCAAGACAAGGTCGCAAGAAACCTTCTGCAATGCATACTTCCCACCCAAGATAGCCCTCGGTATCCTAACCCATTCTCTGTGCCATTCTATTTTCACCAAGAGTTGGTTAAGTCGATGCCAGAATATGGAGAACTTCGAGTTACAGTCGACAGCCAAGGGGAGATCCTGGCTATAATTCGTACCAAGTTCAACTGGGGCCAAAGCGATCGGCCTATGGCATTCCAGGAAGCCACAACAGACGATTTCCAATGGCATTCGTCCAATGAGAAAGAGAGAGAGAAGAAAATGGCTGAGTTACGTGACTCTGTTCGTCACTTCCATTTAAGCATCGTGAGTAGAGATGAGGTGGAGGCTTATGAAACCATACGTCTCGTAGGTGCTCGTTATGATTTTGCAATTATCGAGGGACCCCAAGGCCTTTCATTCTTCTGCAACGAAATCACACGTGCCCTGGCTGCAGATTTGATGTCATCTTGTCTTCCCCAGCCCCATCTTAGAATTTTTCGTGCTTGGGCTACAGAAATCGCGAGGAACATACTCACCACCACACCGATAGGAGCAAAGGGAAGCTTAAAAGAGAGTACGTGAGAGAAATAATAGTATGTGTTCCTCTTAGATAGGACAATTGAATAACTGGTGATTATGAATTATATGCTTCCGCTTGTATTCCTCATTTACCCTTTTTCTCGCGGAGTGACTTAGATCGCTAAATTAAAGGTATAAGTTTTGGTCAAGGCCAGAGACAGACCGACAGCTTCTAGAGCTAATCCCGTGGTATGGCCACTTAACCACTGGATCTTGTTTCCTGTTTTACTTCCTCATGGCCCGAGCTATCGGGTAAATCTAGCTACAAGCACTCAGTCGCCCCTTTTATGACACGGGACAGGTAGTCTAACCTAGGACAGTCCTAGTGCCAATCGATATAAACAACAGAGAAGTTGTCAAGCCTCATCATAGAATGCCTCTTCCAGCCTAAGGATAGTATTTTAGCTATACCAATACAAGCGCTTCTAGCAACCTTATCGACACTAATGAGGATTGGACCTAAAAAAAGCGACCCAGCTCAGTGCCGAAGACCGCAGAACCGCCTAGCGTAAGTATCCTGAGTTAAATGCAATGGCGAGAGGAGAGGTTGCGAACGATACCGAGCCGCAGGAGAGAACTGTTGATAACAGAGAAGATATATCGGTCCGGACGTAGGGTTTAGTTCCATTACTATAAAATCAAATGCTTCTATCTATGGCTAATAAGAACCTTATAACTCCGCTTCTAGAGGCATATTTAGATCTCAGCAATGTATGGGGGTCCGAAGCCCTTCTCGCCAAAGATGGACAGGTTAAGGGTGGCCTTCGGGGTTGTATCAAGGGAGCCATCCTCGTTGATGCCAAAGGCAACGGCAGCAGCAGGGCCATTCTGGTTGCCAAGAAAAATCTCCTTACCGCTCTTACTAATACTTAGCATACGGGGAAGGATACCACCAGTAGGGGTCTCCTTGCTGGGAGTAAGGCAGCCGCCATTGATCTTGAAGTGAGCGAGAGTATCAGAAGTACCGCCAGTAAGACGATTAGTGACATAGAGGTCCTTCTGATTAGGGTGGAGGACGATGCCACCGGCAGCGGCGCCCTTAGGGGCAGTGCCAGAAACGAAACTAGAAATGACCTGAGACTGGCTGATGGTCACTCCAGCAGCGGAGTAGCTGATTTGGTTGACGATAATCTCATTAGAGATCTCGCAGATAAATATATAGTGGGTGGCCTCGCTAGTATTGGAAGGATACCAGACTCCATGGCGAGGACCGCAGCCAGCCTTAGTAGGGATATTTTGGATAATTTCGTACTTATCATCCTGGGTATCTAAGATCATAATATTATCAAAGCCAAGATCATTAATAGCGAAGTAGCGGCCAGAAGGGTCAAGGTTAGCCTGATGAGGGTGAGAGGCATCTTGATTAGGGCTCTTACGACCAGGATTACCAGGAGCAGGAATAGTCTTAATAAGTCTAAGCTTGTCACTACTAATATCCCAAACGTCAACAGTCCCATTACCATAGGCAGCACTAACAAGGCGGGTATTATCTTTATTAAATCCGAGGTGGACAACACCGAAGCTTCCGGCAGCGTTGATAGCCGGAGTTAAAGAAGAAGCACTGCCACACTCAAGGTTAAAGATATGGAGGTCATTGCCATTCTCGTTAACAGTAAATAGTTTATTAGGCTCAATATACTGGATCCAGGTAGGGGCGCCGGTGACATTAGTTTTAAGGGTAATATCGAATACAGAGCCATTATAGTTGGCGAGGAAGATGTTGCCAGTGGTGGTCATGAGCACCTGGTGGGGGGGCAAACCCTGACTGCCGCAGCTCCTATCGGACAGGGAGCGGGCGGCGAGCGCGCTAATGGCAAAGTATGAGATTTTCATGATGACTGTTTTTTGTACACTTTATATACCTAGGTAAAGTAACATACAGTATATAAATATGTATACACCAACCGATTGGAGAATGCCGATGATAGATACTATATATACATATATATACAAAAAGATAGGTGTCTTAAAGTGCCGCTGAAGTCCCTGAATATGATCAACCCAGTTTTTGACTGTTAGCATGTTCTTGGCCTTCGACGTCATCAGAGTATCGACTCCTCAGAGTTTGTTTAACGCCCTAGTTCTAGGCTCCCTTTATTATAGAGATAATATCAAGGAGGCATATATGTACATATGTATGTATATGTACATATGTATTCCGGGTCATTTTCCCTAATATCTATTTATTTCTGATGATGTAGCCATCATTTCCCCCCAGCCATAGTCTAGGACTCCAGCCAAGACTTTGGCCTAGCTCATTTGAATGCAAGACCAAGGTCCAATGTTTTGATTTACTCAATATACCATGTACTCATGGATGTTACAACTAAAAAAAGCCGGTCAACGGGGTTTCCTGAACTGCTTGGCCAATCGAATACCACTCTACCACACCCCCAGGCAGGTTCATCACCCAACCCAACTTTATGGCAAGAAGACTTGTAGAAAAGGAAATTGACCCTTCGACTTCGCCTACTTGCTGAGCTCAAGCTATAGAAACCAAGCCAATAAATAAAAGGAGCTCTCCTTCTAGGATTGCGCAAGGGCTACTTTCAGGTCTTTGATAAGCCGGGTTTTTTTTCTCATTAATGAAAGGGTGTCTTCGCTATAGTATTAGTCTATTATACTTCAGAGCAAATCATACCTATAAGTTTAGAGTTGACACTTACAATTTTTTACTGTAAGGCAAAATACTTCATTTTCAATAAATGTTCGCGTGCTCGCATCCACCGATTTGGGCTTCGACAACCCAGTCTACGTATGGGCTTTCATTTCGGAGCGTATCACTTCATTAGCTGCTGACCAAAGAATGTTGCTATGATTCAGCCTCTGTAACTCAGTGGCAGTTACTGTTGCTCCCCCGGTCAGGAAACAAGCAGTCGTCTCGCATTTGTTGAGTAACATCCAAGGATGTCTCCATTTACGGGCAACTAGGACGGAACTATCACCCTTCTGTAGAGTATCCGTCAGGTTGTCGTCACGTATACCCATCCGATCCATCTTAAAGGCACAGTAAAAACGGTGCATCGGTTGGGACGACATGAATCGTCATATCGCCAAGCGGTGTCTTGATTTTAGTTGAACCTAATGCCTTCACAGCCTCACTCGACCCAAAGCGGACAATTGAATCCGACGGCGATGTCATGCAAACGGATGGTTGTAATCGCTGGAGTGCCTTGGATTGTTTGTGGCCGCCAGTCGAAGAGTTTGCCGCACCGGTATCCGGCAAGGTGCCTTGGAACGATACCTCGTTGTACCGATTCATGCTGAATGATTCGTCGATTACATCGGATTTCGGTTGGTTGTAGGGGTTGTAAGGGTCTTCCCTCGTCAGGCCGTGACGGACAGACCGTTCCGCCAGGACAGATGCGATATTCGGTCCATGGTCCATCAGAAATATACCAGTTATACCAATCCTCGCATTGGTCGAACCGAGCTTCGTGTTGGTCGCACTGTTCTCTGCATTGACTGTGCTGTTGTCTGCCTTCGGTTTGTCGAATGATTGTTGGTATTGAAGGAATGCATCCACCTCCTCTTCGTCTTCGTAAGGATCACCCTCGTGCCAGACAAGGAACTGACGGTATTCGTCAGGCGAGTGGTCGGGAAAATAGGACGAAGCTTTGTAACGACGGTACGCGGCTTTCTGTTCGCCATAGGAGTGTTTAATCGGCCAGCTGCCAGTCTTGCCGCAGACATAACACTTCTTGACACGTTGGTGTGGATGCTGTTTCTGGCCGAATTGTCTCCCATTTGACGATCTTCCGCGTTGCCGTGAATCTTGTCGTCTGTATCGATTGTTCCGACCGTTCCCACGGTACATCCTATCAGTGATGTAACCGTCGTTGTCCATTTTGTCGCCATCATCCATCTCTTTGCTAGTATACTTCTTGCGGCTTATGGTTGTGGTTTGCCATGCTAATTGCGATATGCAGTTCGTTGGGTACGCCTTCAAACGTATCAGCGGTTTCGAAGATGCTCATACTGCACTCTGGCACGTCGCGGCGGCAGTTGATCAATTGGTCTCGCAACATCTCGTTGGATTGATAGTTGGCAGCCAGTGCGCGTTGCAGTTTGACGAATCATTCAACAAGCCATTCGAGGGATTCCGCCTTCGATCGACTTGGATCTGCATTGATCACACGTCGCAACGTAAGGGTACGCCACTCGGACAGATACAATTGACGGCGTTGGTCTGTCTCGAAATGGTTCTTCATCCTGGTGACCGGAGTATCGTATCCGAAACCTCGATTGCACAAACGGTCGTAGTAAAATTCCTCCGCCCGTCCTTTCAACATCACTTCAAACGCACTCGCATATCCCGATTGGTTTCGACCGTCCGATTTTTGGCTCGGATGAATTTGCCGGCTCAGGTTGTCTACTTCATTCTGAAGTCTTCCATGGTTCGGAAGGTTCGTCTAAGTTTGCGTCGGCTTATCGATAAATCGATAAGCCGATATGACGTATCAACAACGAGTGTATCGCTGCCTACGCGTCGCTATCCAACAAGGTGTTTGAGAAGAAGAGCCACAGAGTCAAGATCAATGGCCAGCTACAGGGGAGGTTCGACAGCGCGGCGCTCGAGCAGGCCGCCAAACAGACACTGGCGGGCACTAGACGCAATAAGAACACCCTTCTCAAAGATTCCCCCGATGGTGCCTGCAAAGTGTATGCTTACAGTACTCTTCCAATCAATGTTCCAGCACGGCTGACCAAACCAAAGCCTCGTGTGCGCAACGAGCAAGGAGACAGGAGACACGGTGTGCTTGACGAGCTACCGCCCCGCCCGCGGGGTTGCACACCTGCACAACTCCACCACGGTCTGGCAAGCCTGCTGGGCGACGTCTGCCGCCACCACTTTCTTCGATCCGATCGCCATCGGGCCCTATTAGGAGCTTTCGATTCCAGCCACTCTAATACTGTAACCCGTCACTCCATAACTTCTGGCGATAGAGCTGCAGGACATCGAGAGGTCGGTTTAGGAAATCGCAGGCGAAGCGTTGACCTCAATTGTTGCCGGGCCATCCGACAGCGAAGATTAACCAAACAAGACCGTGATGCTAGCAGGCCACCATAGGGGTAGGCAAAGCTGACGAAGCCGGGATTTTGGTGGGTTTGGGCTAGTTAAAAAAGGTAGACTTGGATTCGAACACATGACCTTAAGAATAGCGCGCCTTTCCTAATTCGGATGTGTATTCACAACCGCAGCGTTATCCGAGCGTGCACGTAAGAACAACGTGAGAATAGCCTCGTGCCGCTGCCCTCAGTTGAGAAGGGCAAATGCGGCCTTTCAGCAACCCGTCCAACAACACGATTGAAACCGCCCAACTGACGGTCCAAGGAGGCTATTAAACCAACAAAAAGTATTTCTGGTTAAAATACACGAAAAACTCTTCTGTAGCTGGCTATCCTCGTACTGCGGGCCAAATCCTAGGACCCAGTCACCCGTCTAACAATACTAGATTGACTAGAGAGCAGAAAACAGACGTTTTTTTCCTCCTAGCTACGCACATCGCGCCGGAGCACGACTACGCGCCGTCGGCAGGTGTGACACCTGCCCAGCTATTCCACACTATGCCTCGTAACCAGAGGACAGATAGTTCCGTGTGATGTTCAAGTGGCCGAAGGGTGTTAATCCCTCAAACCACTTAACTACCACGCGATATAGGTGATCAGACTGATGTTGGGGAGTAATTGCTTCAACCACTAATAAAGTGTTCGCAAGAGAAGCGAGTTAGGCGCCCAAACGAGGCCTCAACTCGGGCATCGCGAACACAGCCACGGCGGTGGCAGGAGGTTCAATCACGTAAATCACGCATAATTAGGTTAATTCAAGGAGAAGTTGCGTATGCGGTTTAATTCGAGCTATCTGACTCCCAACACGGCGCCCAACGCCTTCCTCTTGTATTGCCAGATGTTTCATTTTAACCCACATCACCTCTTTTCTATCTATCCTCCCTCATTGTTCAAGATGCAAACAACGTCTCTGGGGCACGACGAATCCGATTCTATTCTCTTGAGCCACCCTCGGAGTCAGTGCGAGCAACAACATCCGAGTGATCGAAAGGCCCGTCGAACATCAATCCTTGAAGAGTGCGAACTCGTGAAACTGTCACATACGTCAAACCGACCGCGAAGCCTTTAGACGACAGGTCGGCAACTACTTGGTCAAGTGTGATACCTTGTGGCTTATATACTGTGATAGTGTACGCGATAGTAAGAGGAAACTGGGTTCGACTGCACAACTTGTTGCCATGAAGATATCCGCGCTTCGATGGAAAGATTGGAACGATCTTCGACATCTCAGTGTCATCGTTGTAGTATGAAGGTCCCATGTAGCCTTCAAAGCGTACCATGATAACCTCGGGTGCAATACGGCGAGGGTTAATACCGCTGGGTCGATCCCAGCCAAGATCCTCGACGATGCCAATGGAGCCATTGAGGCCGTTCTCGGTCCAGATATTCTCAGTCAACATAACGCGGGCACCAATACAGATAGGCAAGACCTTGGAGAGCCCGCCCGCGGCTTGGGAATCGACATCGTTGCCAAACTCGTTGACGTGAGTAGCCCCGACTCGAATAACAATGCATAATATGCAGCTAGACGGCTCACTATTGGTGGAAATGATAGATAGGGTGCTCGGGGAGGATCATGCCAACATTTTATCCTATATGGACAATTTGGCTTTATCCCATAGCCATCAAGGTCGCTATAAGGAGGCAGAAGCATCAGAGAAGCGAGTAACACGAGAGGCAATGAAAGCTCTGGCATCGATCACGTCCACCTGTAATGCTATATCCTACATGTTCCTGTATAACGGGAATATTCGACTGGGTAGGAAGCCCCTCATATGGATGAGGCTCCTACTACCAATAAAGCTCCTGCTATGGACGAGTCTCATTACTTAGACAAGGCTGCGTGCAATATATATGATATAAAGCAGCTTATCTTCCTTGATTGTTGGTAGATAAACTGCCCTGAGTAAGAAGGGAAATGGAAAAAGGGACATGCAGCGATAATATTTGATGAGATAATAGTCATCTAATCATGCCTTTCGAGGGCGGCCACGTGACTATTTTGTAGAGTTCTTATTGTTGCTTTTCTTTCCTTGTTTATGACTCTTTGTAGTATTTTTAAGAACTCCAGCTTCCGGTGCGAGCTGAGCGGTCCGGCTCCCAGTCCTCTGGCCTCCTTCTTGTCGATGTATCTTTGACATTTCCACTCCTCGACTAACACTCTTATTTCCACAATCCTCCTCTGTCACGGCGTTTGGTTTCCGCTCCACTGTATAGTGTAGCTTCCCGTTGATCAACTCTTCGCTGATAGTTTCAACAGCTTCTTATTTATCCTCGGATATTTCATCCGCTACCGGAGGGGTGGGAGGATACTCTGCGGATGGATTTATGCTGGGACGCTCATTCCTTGCCTCTGCATCGCTGTTCTCGAAACTAGCCATTTCAGCACCCATCTGGGCAGTTGGAGCCAGGCATAGTGCCTCAATGGAAGAGTCTATTGAGAAATTCGTAGTTTTGTTACAAATAGGAGTGTGATCCGACTCGACTTGTGCATGCAACAGCTCTTTCGCGGCAGAGAGCTCGTTATTATGTGCATCTTTCGCCGGATATAATCAACCAGATCAATTGTGTTGTCTTTCGACCAGTTTGGACAATTGATAGGAGTTGAGGATATGGCACCAACATGGAACGGTGGGTTTCAAGAACATGGTTAGTCGATTTGAATTGTCGAATTAGCCTAAAAAAGATGGCTATACAATCAATCATCTCACTCGAAAACGTCTCATGCCAAAACGTCTCATGCCAAAACGTCTCATGCCAAAACGTCTCATGCCAAAACGTCTCATGCCAAAACGTCTTATGTGAAAATACCACATGCTAAAAGTTTCATAATGAATGAAAAGTGCCGCATTTCATTACTATACTTAAAGTTTAAGACTTTCTGTTACTTGGTGCCTCCGGAAAACGCGACTTTGAATTATACATCGATCAACCCGGTACAGCGAGACTATTTACCGAATGCTGCTACCACTTGTGCATCAACCTTACAGATTACGCCAGTATTTCTAACAATCTTGTACTGCCAGATAGAGTACTATTTACCGGAAATTTCGATGTATTCTCCGAGTTTGGGCTGTAAGAATCTTCATCAAAAATATCGTTCCACGGTTGTCTCGAGAAATCAGAATCGAAAAAGATCCCAGCAGACTTCTGCAACCGAATGCTAAATCTCCTATGTTCTTGAGAAGCAATGTTTTCAACTTAAAGATCCTTTGTCGCAAAAGAACGCACTTTGCAGTTCTCCGTCATGTACTTAATACACCAACTCAACCACCTACGAACTAGCGGCCGCTATTGGCAGCCGGGAGGCTCCCATACAGTTCGTTCGCCTGGTAGATGCATGGAAACTCTTTCAGACGCCCAGAATGATTTCACAGCTATTATGTTAATACTAACAATAGATCAATACATAGAAATACTTTATTTTTGAGAACCCAAGATCCGAACAGGACTGACCATATCCTTCTCAATATCAGGAGTAACCACGAATCCCCAGAGAATATTGTTTGTTGAACGCCCCGGCCCGTAATATTGAATATTTTGCCGTTGAACAGCCCAAAACTCATTAATCCATAGACCAATGAACAGACCCAGCGACCTTGTATGCTCCAAAACATCCACATCCTGTGATTCATGAACCGTGAGAGTTTTCCACAGTGTCCTAGCATCTGCAGAAAACCGCGAGCTAGCTTTTAATGCTTTTTCCGCAAACCTATTGACAGATTCAACCGTTCCCAACACGTAAAGGCGTTCTTATTGTTTGAATCCGTCGAGATAAATGTGCGAGCAGTAGCACCATGCCCCTGGCCCCTGAGGCCCTGAGGGGACTTGGGGAGCGAATACAGATTATAGTTAATAGCAACGCATAGCTGCCAAGACAGAAGTGCGAGAAAATGCAAGCCATGGTAGAGAGGGAAAGTCTACGGGGTCTGTTCCATCGCCTGGATGCGGGAAATCGCGAGAATGTGGCACTTGCAGGCCTGGGGATCCGTACATTGGCAGGCATATTCGCGACTTTGCAAAGCGAGTATGCTTAGGAGAGTATCGATGGACGCTCTCGCCGGCGTCATGCGTGCATTGGAGGAAGAGTTCGCAGAGAAGGAGTGGCTGTCTCACGGGCAATCATGGTGTACGTCAGGGAGCTATGAGAGAAAGGTGAAGTTTACCGAGAAGTTCTACAACGCGTTACATGACGCGGGAACGCTGTCGATCCTCACCTGCAAGTCCTTTTATCGCAAGCATAGCCGAGCTGAGCTAGAGGAAGTCGAGTGAGACCGGCGGAGGGAAATCGCCATAGAGAAACGCGACAATTCACCTTTCAAGTGCGCTCATTGTTTCGCTCCCCCTCCAGCCCCCTCTAGGACAAAGATTGACGGGTGCGCCGACTCTGTGAGATATTTGGGTAAAGTAATCTTATGTCCTGCAGCTACGCTGCACACGCGGTTAAGATGTGAGCACATGTTTCCTGTGAATTAAAGGATCTCACGTCGGTCGAGGGGAAGCTCATCGCACAACAACAAAAATGACAGCGACAATGAAACTATTTATCAGCTAATTTTGAAATTTAATAATCAGCAATTCAAAATCCTTGGCGATCCTAAGTAGGAAGAAGACCATTTCCTTTTCATCGAAGGCGGTGAGGTGATGGAAGAAAATATATTTGCTCAAGTATCTAGACACTGAAGACCGTTTCAGGGTCCTGGAGAAGACTATGCAACATAGGCACAATGCTGTGATGTGCACCTACTCGGCTTATGGCTCTGAAGAGTGGAGGAAACAAAGAGCTGGAAGAAAGGAATAAGAACCAGGAAACTAGGATCCTTCAATAGCTGAGGACCAAATCGAAATGCGATGAGATAGTCCAGAGTCTTAGTCATCCCAAGCCAACCGCCATCGGATTATCAACGAAATCAGGCGCTGTACACCTAGACGTACCTTCGTCGAACCTCTGGGTCGTTAGGGCCAGGTAGTTAAGGAGAAGCTAGAAAGGTTTATCGGTGTCAAGAAAGAGAAATGAGGATTGTTCTTTTCTTGCCAATGGGATGGGATAACAGAACTGAGACTTGAGAGGAGTTTCACAAAGCTCTAGGCTATGCTGCGCTTCATACATGTCTCACTATCGGCGAAAAGCTCCGTAGAAATATAGGATAGATCTAGCGGCCCTCACCCTCCGTAAGAGGATGATCTAGAAGGTAATTTACTACATGCTTTATCGATTATCACGCCGTTTTGTGCATAAGATCAAATGTTGTACCCACTGTACCTATGCCTTAGACACTACTACTACACGCTGAAATTTGAGTTGTAGTTTCCCAATAGAGCCTATGAATTCTTTATACTCTTCCCATGGCATTATAACTTTCCAGGCACTATAACAATGACGGCGAAATTTCAGGGCGTGACCTGAATATAATCGGTCTTCATTTTCGAAAACAATATCCCTGAGTCGAAACCTTAGTTTTGAAGTTCCGGCCCCTCTTGTTATCTCTGTTACTTCTCCATCAAACAAGGGAAACTGCCAAGAGCATGACCTCAAGTTCATAATAAATTTCCATCCATCCTGCTTCCGCTCGATTGGAAGAGATTGTAACCATGCAACTATGTCCCTTTGGTTGTCGATATCAATAACAGATGCCTGACTTGAAGCGGGTACAGAATAGTAGCCAGCTACCACTTGAATGGTTTTGACTTTGGCTGTTCTCGGATCAAGTCTGTCAATAAAGGGAATCAGATCACGAAGTGCCTTCCAGTTAACAAGTACAGTGTTGTAGAGAGTAGTGATATTACAATAGCATTGTAAAATACCATCGAGAAAAATAATATCATGGCGAGGATTAATCCTAACAGGAGATCCACACAGCAAAGGGAGTCTGCAAGTACTCCTCTGGGTAAGATTTCCACAGAGGATAGAACAGGACTCTTTCGAAACACAGCGGTGGGCCTCCTTATTAACGCGGATATGAGGAGCATGAATTTGGCGCATATCTCCTGCTGCAAACTCCCAAATAATATTTCGAATCTCTGGGGGAAGATAAGGAAATAAGTGAAATAATTTTCTCTGGCGAATAGAGATAGAGCCCCACGTAGCAAACTCCCAGATTATGTATTGTATCTTCTGAGGAAGCCTTGGGCCTAAATGAATAAAAAAGTAAAATAGCGGTACTCCCCTGCAATCGTCCCCTGCCTCTCCAGGTTCAGTGAGCATCGGCAGAGTTGATTTCCAGTCTTGGTAGAACCCATCGTGAAGGGAATCATATGGGTATAGTAAATTGATAATCGGTGTATATTCAGCCATACTTGGATTGGTTGCGAAGGCAAATACGGACAAGTTCCATGAACAATTCTATATCTCTTCAAATTATAGCTGCCTTCCCTACCTAGGTATTCTTAAGATCAGTGCTTGCACTTGTACTCATACCTTCTGCAGGGTTTTGGCCTTAGGCCACAGAATAGGTTAGAGCTACCCATGGAGATGAAGCAATATGTCGCAATTTACTACCGAAAGTACCGTGCATTCCGCGAATCGTTAGTCGGCGTGGCAGAGGCCAGTTCATACATTCAACAGTCGCATTTTAATGCCGAAACTACTATGCATTCGGCGAGTGGCAATATGTGTCGGTGTGCACGTGTTCTAAGACAAATTTCTCTGTTCCCGATATTCGCCATTACGTTAAGGAAAAATACCTTTCCACTTAATTTTTAAACCTGCACATCCATGCATGTATGTACGTGTATGTCTTCTATGTGAATATTCTAACATATTGCTTAGTTTCCTACCTTGTTGATCACTTGAGCTACCATTGATTAGACTAGCTCGCTACGTTTCATCAACTATGCCGGCCAAATTGAGGCATAAATTAAAGCAAAGTTGCTTCCTGCGAGAAGAAACAAAAACAGATTCTATCGAGGTACAGATGGAAGAAACCGTGCAGCTTGAGGGGCAGGCTAAGGAGGCAGATGAGCATGTTGGTGTCGCCACCAAGAACTTCCAGATTCACAGGTAAAAGGGATAAATTGAGACTGTTACTTCTAACTAGTAATTACAGAGGGGATCCGCGGCCCTTATATCCTTGAGAATCCCTCGATCGTATTCTCATGCGAGCAGCCCGGTCTCGGGCTCGTAAGTTCATTCCGATATCCTTCTGGCTAGCAATAACTAGGGATATTCATATCCGGATAACCGAGGTCATCCTCTTCCTTCGAGCCGTGTGTTCAATAGGTTCAGAACGCTCTTCGAGGCATCAGCCCTGCGCCGATCTCTCGGTATTAGGTTGATCGTCAGGTCAGTAGGTTCGCGATCAGTCCTACCGGCTAGGGTTGCTCGAGCCGATAGGTTAGGGCTTTGACGGTCGGTCCAGTTCGGTTGTAACCTTCCAACCTAGCCAACTGACCCCTCTCGGTGAAACTGATCCTTCTAGGTCTGTTGTATCGTAGCCGCGGCTATCGTGTGATTGAACCTTACTCTTGCCTTCGAAGCCGGGCCGGCTTCCACAGAATTCCTGATGTTAGTTACTAGCAAATTGTATGTGCGTTCGAACAGGCTGGGCTGCGGGCTTCAACGTTCATGGATTATCTCGGTAGTTGACGATATCTTCCTATCGCCCGCTTGGCTCCAACAGAGCAATTTGATGCATACAAGAAACGGCTTGGAGACCAAATCCAGAATGCAATCAAACAGCTGCGGAGAGAGGCAGACGGCCATCGGGGAGGCTTGAGGAGCAAGTCAAGGAGGTAGAATTATGCTTCGGGTGGAGGCGGAGGAGCAGCTTAATGGATTTACACCCTAGATTAAACAAATCATCAACGAAGCACAACGGAAGATAATTGGGATCATTTGCTAACAACTCTATCCATGTGATATCTAGCTTTCTACCAAATACAAGGAGCTCGGTGTACCTAGAGAGATTGAGGGACAATATGAAAGCCATTTGAGCCGCGTGATGAATGGAGATTCCTTGTTGAAATTAAGAATAGGATCGAAGAATAAATAATAAATACCGTATTATCTCCAATTTTTCAGCAAAATCTATATGCCTGTATGATAATAACCTTAGTTATTCAATCCATAAATCCCGCTTTTTCTACGGCTTTGATTTGTCCCCCGCGGAAAAACAGGAGTACAGATTTTTCTGATTAATTTGAGATAATACGGTAGATGAAAGGCCAAACCACGGAGTCAGTGGCGGCGCTTCCTGGGCTTATGCTTCCGGGTGCAGTTTACTATCATCCCTCGGGTGCATCAGTGGAGCGAGCATGGAAACCCATCCCGATCAGATATCAGTACAGCCAAAACCTGTTAGATTTTGTAAATCGATGTGGGTGTCGGCTTGGCGTCGTTTGTTTCAAAGGCCTGGAGCAGAAAGAAATGCTTGAGGCTAAATCCGGGAACGCGCTGGAAACACCAGCCTATGTACAAAGACTGGAGAAATCAATGGCCTTACACGGCCCCGGTACTGGCTCATTGTCTACCATGTTGGTCCCACTTGCTCTTATGGCCTCGGGCGTTTCGGATCGCTAAAACATGCCATGGGACCCTAATTTATGGTGTTCTCGAGGGAAGGCAATTTTGGTGACCGCCTCTTGATAGGCTTGGAATCCAATATGCATCGCCATGTCCTCAGCCCGGGGAAGAAACCGGTAATACCCTTTCGAAAGCCTATTCCGCGAGTTCCCAAGCACACTTTTGACAGAGTAGTTAACTAGCCATGACTAAGTAGGAGTAATCTACTCGTTTGATTGCTTTGGCCGCTATAAGCAAGGGATATCCTAGGATTAGATTTTAAACGTGATGTATATCATACATAAGTTATGATTCTACCACAATATACGAAACGTCGCGACTGCTAAAGCCGGCCGATCGTGTTTTCTTTTGTTCGTTATCTCCCTATTCTCTTAAATAGCGGCTAACTCGACAGATACCGCATCCAAGTTGACAATGCTAAGTACTACCCTCCTGCCTCAGTAGTGGAGTCTGGTGCAACTAGATCTTGAAGGTACACCATCATGATTGCCAGCCGTTTACCAATACTCCAGTTGATGAAACGTTTAGTAAATTAAGCAGAGATATCACAATAACTTAAAGTAAAACCACCTGATCTGAACGACGAAAGTCAACAGTTCATATGTAAAAGCGAGAAAGATCGTCCTTGGTACGTAGACCCTGCGATCAACTGTAGACTACAAAGTTTCTCTATATAACATTTCTTTCGATTTGGGACTCACTTTCATTCAACCTTGCTAGGGGAAGATCATCAGGCTTTATTTGTTACTTTATTGACCAACTGTCTAGAAAGTTTTAGACGTGGACCTTCCATCCATTTCTCCGTACTCCGTTTGACAAGGCAATACTCCACCTCCACCTCGAGAGGTCTATTGAAGAAGAATGTTTGGCTGATGATTCGCGGGTCTACATCACCATCATCACCATCATCACCATCATCGTCACTGTTCACATTCTCTTCTCTATCCCCATTCTCGTCTTCATCGTCATCTTCTTACTGGTCCGTCTTGTCTTCAAGATCTTTCCGCCCATCTTCCGCAACCCCTAGCTCGTTCTTTTCTCAAAGGGCTCATAAATTGGCGGATCATCCGGCTTTGGCTTCCACAGCTGTTGTCCCGCCATGCCCGGAACTTTCTATAGCTCTTCCGATGAAAGGGACAACATGTCGGCCTGGTTGTAGCCCGTGCGGATGATTTCATTTTTGGAGTCGAGATACGTGAGAACCCTCTTGAAGTCCTCTCTTTTTTTCGCTTTCCTCCCAGATAACGCAGGGCTAAGATCACAGCGCTTCACCCACATCGTTCGAGAAATCCAGCTAAAGTTTCACCTCGTCTCGGTTCATAGCCGAGTCCTGCAGGTCATATAGGAAACCTTTCTGAAAGGCATGCATGAGGAAGAGCATCATGCGAGCCGCTAGAAAATGGCCGCTAGGAACTTCTGTGGATAAGGCCTTGATAGTCTTCAGCAAAGCCTTCCATCCTTCAAGAAGGGCCTTGTCTGTCTCGACTATCGCATTCCCGGGAGGATCTTTGTTCCGTTTGTAGTAGTTGAGTGTGCAAATAGTTAAGTAGAGATGTTGAACGAGGCTTGCCAGTTGATTGCGATTAGCTTCTACCTTTTTGCCGCTTTTGATATACTAATCCCCAAGAGTATGTCTTCCGCCTCTGAAATGGTCTCCTCGACTATCGCTTTCTCTATTTTCGATTCCGTGCCCTTTGAATTTCTCTTTGAGTGAACGTAGTTGGTGAATGTCAGTTTAGCCTTTGACTCCTCTATTGTCTCTAGAATGCGACCATGTAGGTTTTCTAATCATAATTATAATTTCGCAATCTACTATGTTAAGCCTCTATTCCATTGAGGCCTAGGGGGCCATTAAGGAAGTTGGCTCTTTCTTCACACCATTTATTTGTAGAAGATAAATACATCCGCGGTGCTTCTAACGGCTGCTAATAAGCAACAGGGAGGCCACCCATTCAGTATTATGATATACAAACAACTAATCCGCGACTCGGGATCATAGCCCCGGTTAATTTCGTACCACTACAAAAGTAGTATTAAATTATTTCCCCACAGAGCCGTCGGAAATTAACCCATAGCGTTCGAAGAACTCAGCATCGCTCCCCTCGACAGCCTCCGCCGTTTCGCTGGCCATAATTAGCTCCCTGCACTTCTTGGTTCTGGGACTGATGCGGAATGGGAATTCAGCCGGGCGGGAAACAATGCCTGGGAGAACGCTGAGCGACGGTTCAACCTCACGCCCTTCTGAATCGACTCCTTTGGTAATTTGAAACACAGCTAGGCTCTGTACAATGGCAAGATATAGAAAAGAATCGGCAAAGTTCCGGCCAGGGCAAATTCTCCGCCCGAAACCAAAAGCAAATTCTTTCGGGTCGGGCTCATTATACAGGGCCCCGTACCGCTCCGGCTTGAAACAGGTCGGGTCGTGGTAAACATTCGGGTCATTAGCGAACACACGAAGGCTAGTTTGGATGAGAGCCCCCTTTGGAATCAGGTACCCCCTGTATATAAAGTCTTCATCGTTTTGATGTGGCAGGCTCAATGCAGCAACGGGCTGCCACCGGTACATCTCTTTGACGATACCCTCCACATAAGGCAGTCTGGGGCGATCATCAAAGTTCGGAAGCCGGTTAGATCCGACAACTCTTTCAATCTCTTCGTGTCCCTTTTGAAGTACCTCCGGGTATAATAACATTGCAAGGAAAAAGAAGCTCAAAGTCGAGACCGTGGTATCTGAACCACCACCATATAATGCTGCGGCCGAGAACTTGACTCCAGATTGATACGCAGAATCGTCTGGATCTTTAGCATGTTGCAATGCATTAGAGACATACGACTTCCTGTGACGGTTGTCTTCCATCTGCCGTTGTACAAACTGGAACGGCTTCTCCGCTGCTGCTAAAACTTCAGCTTTCCAAGCACAAGCCGTTCGCTTGAACCCAGCCCCGGGAAACCAGCCTGGTAGGTATTTCAGACTAGGCACTACATCGACTGCCCAGGCCCCAGATCCTGCCACCTTATTGAAGACCGCCATCATGCGGGTAACAAGGTCTAGAACTGGATCGCGACGAGTAGTATCGATAGAATATCCGTAGGTCAATTTAATGATCGATGAGCCCGTTATACTGGAAAGATTAGTTAATACTTCTATCTTTACTTAATTCGGAAGAATACAGAAGCAGACTAACAGCTCTAGGTGATCCAATAGTTTGCCGGGCTCATCTAAAATGAGTTGAAGCATTCTTGAAACTTCGACTTGTTGGGTGTCTCGGAAGCTCTCAACCATGGTCCTTGTGCCCATATGCTGGTGCATAAGCTTTCGGTGAAGTCGAAAGGTTTCATTATATGGGAGTGCGCCTGTATAATTTTCGAAGCCACATCTAGACAAGAAGGTGTTGAGGTGAGTTAGTTACTTAGCGACGATAAAGTTTTGCAATGGGTGATATGCCTTACAATCCGAAGCCAAACTCTAGCCAGGGTCTGGAACCCGTTTGTAGAGACTTCTTATCCAAGATATCGACCGCGATCTGTTTGTCATTGAGGACGATAATGGATCGCCCCAACACAGTCACCGAAGTGATCGGGCCATACTTGTCTCTGTGCTTCGCCCAATGCTCATATTCTGGAATTTTATCGGCCGGCAGATCAAAAATGTTCCCAATCAGTGGAAGTGGGCGAGGCCCAGGAGGAAGAGGAGCCGCTGGCCTCTTGCGCCTCCGCTGTTGGAAAACGAGGAACGAGCCCAAGGTCACGGCAATCCCAACCAACAGAAGATCGTTTGTAGCCTTCATGGTGATATTTGGGTGTTGTAGATTAGGAGCGAATTAGCTTCAAAATTATACAAAGATGAATTTCCCGGACTGGCTTGAAAAGCGTTTATAATGCAACTACCCAAAAGAATTTACGGGCGAAGCATAGGTCCACCAAAACTGCCAGTGCTTCTAGAATTTACTGCTCTTTACGTCACTATTGTACCTCCTTATTTTTTCTTAGCTAAACATGAACTGATTTAATTCATAGCCTGCGAAGGTGGTAAAGTCCTGTACAGCCCACTGTGACTGTGATACATGGCAGGTTGCAACTACGATGTTACATTCGCTTGTTGTTGCCGAAGACGGCAAGGGCTCTTGAGTACATGGGCCATATATATCGGCCGATCGGTTTTTGCTGCCGGAAAAGCTTGTACTTTGCGACATGATGAATTAGTAAGGACATACGCTCAGTCGCCCTAGGTGCCTACTACAGTTCATTCTGCGAGCTACTATCACCGTTCAAGCCAAGAGCAGGGGTCGAGCAACACGAATCCTGCAGGAATTTCCAAATTCCATAAGAGTACATATGGACATATAGGCAATTGCTCTTTGGGTTCTACGGATCGTCATGGGGAACGCTAAGTGAGCCCCCTTATTAACCGCTCTTCATTGCCAGAACCAAACCATCATACATTCTGCGAAGCAAAGTCCTGTACTTCAATCGCTCTTTCCTACTAAGAACATAATGTATTCCGCGAGCGATCTTTAGTGCGAAGCTGAATTTCATGATGTACTAGCTCTTTGATTCGAAGAACACTGCACATTCTGCGAATTGTCAATAAGTCGGTACTGGGCTACGTTTTGCAATTCAGCCGGTTTTTGCTACTATGCACGAACATGACGCATTTCGCGAACTGTTAGTGAAATAAGCCTTCGAGATTTATTGGAAGCTAGTATTGGGTGGCGCTTGTTGAAGACCACTGGACAGTGCTTCTTGAAAATTACTTCCTTTTCGGCCTCATTTACGTGCAGTCTTACTCCCATTCATGCCACTCGGCTCTGTGGAATGGCAGAGAATTCCCAAGCTCTGGCCACAAGACTTGCTAGACTCTCAAATGACCCAACAAAAGGCAGAGAAGGACACTACTGCGACGATAATAATAGAGGCCCCCTTGAATAGAGTCCAAAGACGACTGGCGGCAGTAATGATGCAAACACAATGAAGGACTTCGTGTTTTGAGCTTGTCAGAAAGGTTATCAGGTCCTCTAAATGCTGTATCCATCCCTTACCATCGTCACCGCCAGAATTTTCACCGTAGTATTTCGTAGAATCTGTAGGGAATATTGCGAATTCACATGGAATATTATCGTATTTCCTAATAGCGTGAAGTATAAACTGGCTCTGACATTAGGGTGCCCGGTCCTAAATAGTGGAACAAAGAACAACTAGGTCTTAAGTTATGTATGCTATGTACCTAGCGCACTCCTCTGATAAGCAACACTGTGTGGGGAACCGGCTTACATTCCATACATTTGTAAAGAGGAAGCTAGTTATGCTCAAAACTGTACAAGGAGATCGCGTCCGTTGTACATACGAAGCAGAACAGATTTGCGGGTTTGTGTAGTCCATCTTGGTAAATGCGTGCCAGTGGGCTAGGGATGTCCTAATATTGACATAAAATGCGATTGAGGTTAAAGAAAGATTGTTCCGGATTGGACCTGTGTTGCGTCAAGTGGATTCGGTTTTGACTACCGAAACTACTATGTATTCAGCGAACGAATGACGCCAGGCCAACGTCTGCTGACGTTAACTGAAGGGCTAAGCATGTTTACGAGAATCACACTGGCAGGCGGGCCATCATGTTCAGGGTGATTCCACCTTGTTTTTATGTACACATGTGCCATCGGCCCACTATATGCGTAGCCTTTCTAGTATCAAAAAGCGACGATAGACCTGGACCTCCGTGATCACAGAAGCAGGACACATCGGGGCGAAACTAAAAGCCAAAGATTTCATCCATTGTTTCATCGATGGCCGAGTTCTGATCTCATATAAATTGGCTCGGAGAGTTCCTTTCATTATCTCAGTCACTCTATCTGGCTGTGTACTTATTCGCTAGTCACGGGTTGGATTCTCAAAATGCCTACCGTCCGAGGCTGTCATCTTGTGGGCAGCGTGCCTCTAAAGGATACCCAGTCCGTTTTCGAATCACTGCATTCTCTACAGAAACATCTCAAGCGATACCCGGATGGAGAGACTGCTGACCGCAAGATGTTCGTCAGCTTCCAGGCCCCTCTATTTCCCGAGTTTATACAGACAAAACTCGATTTTTCTAATCCTCTACCACCTCAGTCAAGGGCTTTCACGGATCAAGAAATTGAAAAGGGGAAGTACCTTCTTGGTTTGAGGGGTAAGGAAGGAACCAAAACCGGATATGACGATGCTGCCATAAAGAGCTATGAAATCTTTAAAGACTGGAAGGAGAAAGGAAAGTTTCCACACGGAGCCAGATTCCAGGTCTCGATGGCAACGCTTGGCAATGTAGTTGGCAGTTTCATATCACCTCAATTCCAAGAGGAAGCGGAAAAAATATACGAACCAGCTCTTTTTGAAGCCTTACACAACATCCAAGAGAAGATTCCTCACAAAGAACTAGCTATCCAGCTTGATATGGGCGTGGATATGCTATACTGGGTGGACGGATGGGCCAAGCCCTGGTGGAGTGACAAGGACCATTTGGTCGGTTATATCGTCAAGATGGCAAATGAGGTGCACCCCGATGTTGAATTGGGATTCCATTTCTGTTACGGTATGTTGCCTACTAGGTTTTAGATTTTGAATATGTTTACTGATTTGGTTGGATAGGAGATATTGCTCATCAACACACAGTCGAGCCGGAAAGTCTCAAAGGGGTTTCCGACTTTGCACTGAGAATTTTCAATAAACTCAAGAGGCCAGCCACATATGTGCACTGTCCCGTTCCTCTGAGTGCGGAGCATAATCTCGAGGCTTACTTTAAGCCCCTGCAGTCCCTCCTCCCTGTGTTATGTGAAAATGGGACAGAGCTATTCCTTGGACTTATTCATGCTGACAATCACAATGCTACGCGCAAAATGATTGAAAGTGCTCGCCAAACTATGCTGGGATTCGACTTGACTGAGTTCGGTATTAGCACCGAATGTGGCTGGGGAAGAACACCAGAATGGCAACTTGCGAGCATTAAGGAAATTTCGCTCTCTGAATCGAAGCCTATATTTTAAAGGGCACTTGTGGGTAATTAGCTGTTCTCTAGAATTCAAATTACAAAAACACGATTAATCATGCCATTCCCATGTACCTAGCGCCAAGATATTTGCGCATGGTAATAGATTACTCAACACTAACCAAGACAGCACACTGCTCTTTTGTGCTGTAGTCCGCAGGCTAATGTAATGGTCAGACACCTGCATTAGCTTTGGAAACGTCGGTTCGAACCCGATCTGGGCCAGAACCATCCGCGTTTCTATCCGTTCATTCAGGCGGCGAACCCCATACAGCAGCTGGGCTCTAGTGTGGTCAATATAAGCTCGCGTGTACTGTAATTATCGCGGTTCAATCAACCGACCAATCAATCATCAATCCCCATTCTGCTGTACGCAGGAGATTCCATCCCGGTCTGTGCACGTGACCCAATTAGGCAGCCAAAGAAATATTATCTTGGTCCGAGCTTACGTTGAGTGCTGACACATGAAAACCGCTTTACTCGACACCCTCGCTAGTGGAACCACGGCCGGAATGGTGGCTGGTAGTATCTACTTCAATGGGACTGAACGAGATAAAAGCCTTTAGGAGAAGAATGGAAGTGTCCAGCAAAACGATATCCACCTTCACACCACAACTGTTCGTGAGGCACCACAACTTAGTGCTTTACTAAGACAGCCCAAATCTACATTAAAGGCCGGAAAGCTCGCTTATGTTGAAGAAGTGTTGGAAATGATAGATATGGCACAGTACGCGGAAGCTATAGTTGGGGTGCCTGGGGAGGGCCTCAACGCCGAGTAACGGAAGCGCTTGACCATCGGTGTTGAAATGGCCTCAAAACCCGAGCTTCTTTTGTATGCATCAAATGTGGGGACCTCAGCCCATTTCGAGGCAAGGTTTTCGATGGACCTGAAGCCCTGAAATTCCTTCTGCTCGCATGGGGTAGCCCGACAATGGCAATGCAACATAGTTTGGCATGTGTCACTAAAACTCGTATGGGGTGCATCCTTTCGCTAAATGTCCACCAATGTCGGAAACAAAGAGCGGTTGGATATGTTGCTTGACAGTTCGGGAAATACTAAGCTTGCACTCTACTTAAGTTGCGACCCCAGTTAATCGCCCAACCCCCTCAGTCGTCCGCTTTTTAGGAATGAAATCCGCTTGAAGCGTGCGCAGCGTCAAAAGGAGGTTGTCAAGGCATACCGTGAACATTAATTTTATCACCGACCCACTTGGGTTATTGAGATGCAAGCACGGGGAGAAGAGGAAGAGGAGTAAGTGGAGCCAGTCATCGACGCCGTCATACCAACACGGGCTCGGTTAGCAGAGATTCTCTGCCACCAGCCCGATAACCTGGATGAAAATCAGATCCTTCAGTGTAGGATCGAGGCCATTGATTTGATGATAGCGCTCTGCGGCAAGAGAGAAACGATCAAACAGGATCGCGTCCAGCTAAGGGTCAGCCCCGAACCGCCTATCAAAGCTGAGTCGCCCGGGGTGCACGGCGAAGTTGCGCCTAGTCCCGATTAACGAAATCGGTCCGACTGTTAATCCGGCTTCCTCTAGCAAGCCAATAGAACAAGCCGGATGAACAGTCGGACCGATCGCGCTTTGGGGTCCAATGTCTTCCGCGGCACCTGCCTAATCTTGTCCACTCCTCTAGACATTGCTCCGAGGGTGGGCGCCAGCCACCATACCTAGACACGTTGCACCCCAACATCCATTACGAGAAACATTGGTGGGATGGCTGTAAGTGGTTATGGGATTGAAGGCAACCCTCTAAAGTATTTTCAAGGTACCCTCATCGCGAAACAAGATACATAAATACAAGCGGTCAGAAGCTGGTTATGTTACAATCTATACGCAAGTCAGAGAGTTAGCCATACTTCATCACACCTTTCATCCAACCAAAATTATGTACACTGGCAAGAAGCCTAACTCACATTATAAAGAGGGGAGGATGATGTTGATGAGGCTAAATCTTTTCTTTTGAGGAAAGAAAGCATCTATATCTATTTGAGTTACCCCATAAGTCAGAGACACATTAATTGCAGAAAAAATATATTTTCATCAACTAATCATTCTTAAGAAAGTCCCAAGCTGTCGTGCTGTGAGACCTCAATATAAGACCATTGCCCTCTGAATCAATGCCGATCACCTTGAGCCCTTACCAGGTTGGCATCAGACGCTCAAACCCGCCCTTCGGATGTTTATGGGCTACTATATGTTCTCAATGGGAGTGCTCAGAGGCATTGGCATGAATGATGTTCTTCAAATTGCAGCCGATGTATTTGCTCGTTTTCTTGTTCTGAAAACTGCAGAAACCCTTAGTCAAAACGCAGTGCCAAAGTCTCTGCCCATCACAGGAATCGCATGGTTCCAGGAAGAGATTCCCATTATCTTCAACAACTTTTCTCAAGCATCTTTCTCTGTGAAGCGGGGTTAAAATCTAAGATAATATAGTTCTCGGGATCAGAGGATCTCTCAATCCAACAACTTCAATCCATTGTTATAGTTCCACCAAGAATTAACCTATATATAGATTAAATGAGCAACTAGGGAATCTATAAACTATTATTATTATTTTATAGCTCTTTCCTAGACTAGAAACAGTACAAACACTGTGTCGGCCACATGTAGCTAATTAGAGATTCATAAATTGCACTGCTAAAAGCGGACACTTGTTTCGGTCGACCCTGTATCCTTCGCTGACAGACGAAAAGTACTACATTCAGACAGTCCTGAATTCAGGCTCAAATTCATACACAAAAACGAGCACTCGCGGCCAAAAAGTGCCTCCGATAGCCATCAACTAGGTCTAATCTACCAAATTTGGGCCGTGGATCGAAAATCTACAATCTCAAGCTATATAAACTTATTCATCGCATGGGTCACATGGATCAATACATACATACCATAACGTATAAGCCCATTTGGAGCAAAATGCGCAGAAAACGCTGTGACACCGACCATGACAGCCCTACCGGCCAACCTCCTCCAAAGAAGAGGACAGATGAATTGGTTGATTCGGACTCAAACATCGAAAGGTGGCCTAACATCCACAAAAGATTGAGAAATTACCAAGAATTCGAAAGATTGGAGTGGCGGCTCTATTGCTCCCTTATAAATCGCTATTACGAGGACGTTGAAGAAGACGAAGCCAGTCGTATAAAACTTGCGACTGCTTTGCATGATTCTCCCGAGTCATACCGCCTGAATGCTTTAAAAGTTTTTCAAAGGCAACTGACACCTGAATTATACAAGAAAATAACTGCGCTGTTGAATGAATTGAGTAGTTGTGATCCCTACGGTATGCTACCTAATGTTGCAAATCGAAGTTCCAACCTAGGCAAGTGCAACGTATGTGGTGGTGAGTTCTTAGAGTTCCAGACTTTTATCCAGAAGCAGTGTCGGAACCATTTTATCCACGAAAGGTGCTTTCGCGACAAGATAAAAGCCAACGGAATGCCTTTATTTGGTGACTGTAGTTGCCTAGGGAATGGTGGAATGTTGGAAGAACGTTCTCTTTTTCTTGAATGAGCAGTTAATCTACATATGTTACTGCTTTCAATACAACACCACTTCGGATTTGATCCTGCAAGCCGGCGATAACAAGCCATACAAGTACATAGTCTAACCAGCCTAAATATAAGAAGATGGCGTGACTATAAATCTGCCTTGACTCATTGCTCCTGCTGAAATGCTGAAACAATAACTCATAAGGTGTCGTTTCTGGGATCATGAGGCAGCCTTTAACCGCAAGATTTAAACCGAATTACCAAAATCGTCTAAAAGCTCATTGTCTCCAAATTCATCCCTTACAACTCTCGATTTTCACTCCCCATAGTGCTGTCCCAATTTATTAAAGACTCGGACGTTATATCAGAGTGTGAAGCCATAAACCCCTCCTGCAATATTTTAGATCTTTTCTGTAAAATTCTTTGTGACCGTCGTGGCCCGTTCCTCTTTATCGTAGTATGTCTTCCCTTAGTCTTTGATTGGGCTGGGAGTAGCTCATAAAACCGTCGCCAGTGCCCTCGGCGCCGTTCCTTTTTCTTGATTTCTTCCTCTCTCCTCTTTAAATCGAACCAAACGCCTTGGTTTAAGCTCTCCCAACCAGCTCCATGATTCTGCTTCCATAATTGTCTTCTCGCTTAACTGCTCTAGCCTTGGCTCAGCCTGGGCCATCTCCGCCGGCACCGTGTTTCCCACCAAGTTATACTCTCGCGCCTTGGAGAGGAGCATGATGCCATCCAGCGACTTGCATCGTGATAGCTGCACGTACAGTCTGTAGGGATCACACTGACTAGCAACGGCCTGGCCGTCAATGTTGGTAGTCCTGGTCCCCCGTAGCTCTAGTACCACCCTATCTAATATTCTTCCTTGTACCTTAGAGTCCGTGCACGCAGTCACCGGTGCACAGGGCAGCCATCTGCGTGAGACGTCATGTTGCTGCTATGGTCGTTTTCTGTGGCACTCTATCTTGACACTCGTGGGCGTCAGGAGGACCACATATTCAGCCACAGCAAATCGGGCAAGAGGCTGGGGTATCAATCTTCCTCACCCAAAAGAACCATATTGAAATAGGTGTGGTCCTTCTTCCTCTAGAAAACAATAAAACTGCCAGCGAGTGTGTGCTTCGTTTCACACCCACCGGCGATGGCGCGCCCTCGGACAATACGGTGCCTGTTCCCGCATCATGGGATGCGAGCCTGATTCGCTTCGAGATTTTCACCGCCAGGCCCCGATGATGATGTGATTCCGTCCCATTCCCTCTTCCTATTGCATTCCTGAAGGATAGCGATGCTATCGACATTCGGCATAGAGACATCTGTAGTTCCTGGGAGAGCTTTTCACAAACCAAGACTCACATGTTGCTTTCTCTGATGAGATGGAGGTTCGTCGTCTGAGCTGTCTGACATTGTCGATCCATTATCTGCTATTCCATGTAATCCCTCCACGGCAGGTAATGATGGTGATGAGTTTCCCTTGTTTATTTCAGAAGTGGTGAGGGGGATTTCATCTTTATGAGTAACTGTGACGGACCGCAGAATTTCCAATATATCCTTATCTGCAGTACTGTAATTGGATATTCTTGGTGGCAGCTGGCCATCACTTGACCTTGGCCAAGGATCAAGCCTCCCAGTCGCCAGTAAAAGACGTATGGTATCCACATGCCCCCTATCTATAGCGCAGAATAGTGGCCCCTTCCTTGTATTGTCTTTTCTGTCGAATTGGATTTGGTATTCAGAAGAGGAGATATATTCTTGAATCTCGCACCGGAGTAATTGTGTAGCTATTGAGGTGAGACCAGTTTGTGCAGCCTAGGATAGAGGGCTCCTCCCCCCTTTATCTGGAAGGTCAAGACTGTATAAGAATGCTAGCGATAGATGTGTTTGATTTTGAGCACGCAAGTCCTAATGGGGTTCGCCCAAGATTGTCCTGCTGGTTGATGTTCACAATCCTGATCAGAGGAGAGATATCCTGATCTGTTATCCAATTCTCAAGGCCTATATGTATAATGGTCCGGCCATACACGTTGAGTTTACTGCCTGCCTTTCTCATTAATGGCTTATTCCATAAATCCTTTTGGCAAAGCAGGTTTAGAACTATATGCTCTGGAGAAACTGAAGGAACGGTATTCTTCGCTTTCATTTTCGGTAGTTCGGTGAAAAAACTGTATAATATTACATAGTAAGAATTGGCGGTAGCGTTTGAATTCGATTAAGATGCCCTTTCTTTCATCGCATCCTGAAGGTTTATAGACGTTTTATAATTCGAGAGAGCTATCGCCTTGTCTACTAACGAAGGCAAGGCATCAGTTATATCATTGTCCTGACAGCCTTGACAGCTGAAACACTTGAGCTGAAGAGAAAGGTCCACGAAAAGAGCTAGAAGAAGGAACGACATTTGGTTAGATTTTGAATCTATCAGCATCAGCCGAAGCTCTCGGAATGCTGCGATCCGGCTTGAGCAGATTTCTGCATGTAATAGAACGTCGCTTTGGAGATTTGGATCGGACCCGTTGTTAAACAAACGGAAATTTTGGCCAATACACATAATTCGGTACGACCTGTATATGATTTAGACAGCGCCTAAGAGCTTGAACTAAGAGCTTGAACTCACAGTTCAACGTATTCACTAAAAGTCACATTGGATTCGCTCATATCCCACCCATTACTAATGGGCAATGTGCGTTCAGAGAATGAGCCCGTCAGCTGGCCGGCTAGGACACTTTCTGAGCAATCGAAATTCTTCTGCGCACATCGATCGCATTTCTGGCCAGGCCATACGCGGTCCTGCGGCTCACACTGGCCACCTGGTCAGCACAGAGCAGCAGGCAGAGAACGAGTGGTGAGATCTACCTTTTGTTTATCCTTCCTGCATTGCATGCATTTTTTGTAGTTCAGTCGTCTGGGTCCGTCCGTCATTATGTTGCTTGTCCTTGACAAGTTGCCACGCTATAGGATACGCCTTGAGGAGCCTTGCGTCGGAATCGACAAAGTGAAGCTATATGATGCGATTGAGAAAGAAATCACTAGCTGAGGCGGCGTTGCATAGGACCTCAAAGTTTTAGGATAAAGGAGAGAAAGAGGTAATGTTTGTGGGAAAATATCTTTTGATTGAACGAGCCCCTGGCTGAGAGCTGATTCGGCACAGGAGACCATCGCAGTTATCGCAGTCGTCGCACAGCTCCGTCAAAGACTTCTAATTGGTTCACTGTAGGCCGCATCAACTAATAGACCGGTACCTTAGGTATTTCATGTTTTGCCATGCCTATTACTTCATAATGCATATATTCTTAGCGCAGTGCTCGTCGCACTTATCGCACAGCTGCATGGGAAATTCTAACTGGCTCGCTGTCAGCTGCACTGATTCGGGTTATGCCGTGTCCGTCATAGTTCATAATCCATATAGTTCTCAGCGTAGCGCTCTCGCAGTCATCGCACTGTTAAATCAGACATCTCTTATTGGTTCGACGTGATAACTTGGTAGGTAATTCAAGTTATGCCATACCTATTGCAATTCACAAGATTGACATGGCTAAAGAGATATCAAGTGATGTTTGTCAAGTCGAATGAGTACTTCTACATCTTCGAAGATGATGAACTTTTGTTGTTCCGACCAGTCGAAGTTTATAGCGAGCCGACGCCCTTGTACCCGAAAATGCGAGTTGTATCTCCTAAGCTGATAGATCAAAGCTTGGAGTTCTGGAGACCCTGCCTCTAGTCTGCAAAATATGCGACACTTGCATATAAATTGACTTCGGAACGTTGGCACGTGGCTAAGTTCGAAATAGAATAATTCTGCCTGCAACTAAACACAAAGCTTCAAAAGTGAAAGGTATTTATCATGAAGCATATGACGACATGCTATTTACTCAATCTAATCCATATCCGCAGTGCTATCTAGAGCTGGCCCCATTCCGTTGCATCAACATCGAAGCGAAAACAATTAGCCCTTTTTGCTGAAATCTTCCTTGGCTTGGCCGAGTGTGCAATTGATATACTCATTCTCCTGGTGCTTGTCGACGTTCCCGCAAGGAGCCCCAGATATGATCAGCACATACAGAAGTTCCAGCTTTGCCGCGCTAAAGACAGTCCCTCTCGCGGCGCCGCGCCGCCCTCTCTCGCTGCCACACCTCCTTCTTGTCCCCCTCCACCTCCTGCTCCCACTCCCAAACCTCCCGCTGCCACACCTGCAGCTCCCCCCTCCCCCTCTCCGCCCTCTCCTCTCTCCTTTCCACCTCCGCCTCCCTCTCCTCCAACTCCCTCTCCTCCAACTCCCTCTCCTCCTCCTTCTTCTTCTTCTCCTTCTTCTTCTCCGCCTCGTAACGCTCAACTGCGAAGATGGCTGGCACAGTTGCCCTGTCTCTGTGAACCAATCCAACCACATCGGGACAAGAGCGCTGCGAAATCCGACAGGGAAAATGGGTGTCAAAGTGTCCCCTATCCTCGTATATCCAAATGTTAAGTACTGGGCATCTAAGCTCTCGAATGAAACCGGGATATGAAATCCAGTATCCATAGTGCTGATTGAGAACAGAGCGCGGTCTCGATTTCCTCTTCTATACAATTAGCAGGCGAGAAATCTCAATGGGTGAAAGGCTATTGTTGCGATGAGGAAAGATTCTCTTGCATATTTTTACAATCATTGAGGGGACGCAGGCAGCAGGACTGCCAAGGTGGTGCCATATGCCACGCTCGTGGTTTCCATTGGCTCTGATGAACTCCACGCTGACTCATCCGCAAAGCTGGGTCAGTCAGCGATAACAACAACGACGCTGGAAAGGATCCAACGCTCAGAACAGCTAGAGCTTTGAAAGATGCCCCGGGAGATATGCTTAAGCAGCTCTTGACCGGCCTAACTAATAACAAAGGCAGAGTTCGTATCAATACTGTGTACAAAAGGAAAGGTGATAAGATTAACCTGGTTGACAATGCACCTTCGGACGGGCCAGTGCCCGTAGGAAATCTATACTGGAAGAGGGCAAAATGGGAAGCTGCCTAACTCAATATAGAAAAGGATAATCCTTTCAAAGACTGGATAACCCCAAAGTTCGGTACGATTGCTGAAGGCGAGCGGCTCGGCAAAGGAACGAGAATAGAAGACCTTGTGGCCTAAGTGAAGCCCGTCTTCACAGAAGAAGAAACCGCAGTCTTCAAACATCTGTTGAGAAATCGTGAAGCTGCTCTAACCTGGGAATGGGAAGAGGTCGGGAAAATAGACCCAGATATCGCTCCCCCTCAGAAGATCCGAACCGTTGAGCATAACGCGTGGCAACCAAATAGTGTTCCAATTCCCAAAGGACTCGAATCTGTAGCTGTTGAGCTCCTAACGAAGCGCCTCGCACGAGGAGTAGTGGAGGAAAGCCACGGGCCATACAGAGACCCCTGGTTCCTTGTCCGCAAGAAGGATGGAAATTATCAGTCGATCAACTCTGCTACCCAACTGAACAGAGTAACGTTTCGAGACGCGTTGCAGCCTCCAGGAACTGACGAATTCAGTGAAGAATTCGCAGGCTGTACACTCATCTCAGTGCTTGACTTCTTCTTCTTCTCTGGCTACGACCAGATACCATTAGACGAGGAAAGCCGCGATCTCACAACCTTCTCTACACCTATCGGACTCCTGAGAATGTGTACGCTGCCACAAGGAGCCACGAACTCAGTAGCACAATTCATTCGCGTTTTGACCCGAATCCTCTATAACCTGATTCCGCAGATTTGTCGGGCCTTCCTTGACGACATCACAGTCAAAGGCTCGAAGAGCGATCATGTAGATGAGGAAGTCATGCCGGGCGTAAGGAGATTTGTAATGGAACACCTGTAAAACCTCGATAAAGTGCTCGTCAACATTGAATTAGCCAGAGGTGCGATCTCCTGCCAGAAGCCACAGTTTTTCCAGTAGACGGCGAGTGTGGTTCGCTATCGCTGAGGAATCCACGGCAGAGCCCCTGATGAAAGCAAGGTTGTGAAGATCCTCGAATGGGAGGCCTGCAGGAATCTCACAGAAGTAAGAGGATTTCTCGGTATCATTGGATATTATTGCCAATGGATAGACCACTTCTCAGAGGCTGCGAAGCCGCTCATGTCCCTACTCAAAAAGAACGAGCCTTAGCATTGGGGGGAGGCCCAGCAGAAGTCGATGGATGAATTAAAAGACCGACTCACGAAGGCCCCAGTCCTCACCACAATTGACTATGCAGAGGGGCACGGCGAGACTGTCCTTCAGGTTGATGCCAGCGCAACTGGCTCGGGATATGTGCTCATGCGGGTTGTTGACGGGCAAAGGAAGCCTGCGCGATTCGAGAGCAGCTCGTAGACCAAAACCGAGCAGACTTACAATCAACCAGAAGGTAATGTAGAGCTGTCCTTTGCGCATTTCGAACGCTTCGATATTGGCTCCAGGGAACGTGATTCACCCTGGAGACTAATGCCCAAGTCCTAGTTCACCAACTCCACGGCAAGGTAGAAGACGTGCCTGGGGCCATAATCATATGATAGCTGAGTGATCTCTTCCTCTTCAACTTTGAAGTCCGATATATCAAAGGTGTAAATAATACCGTTGCCGACGGACTCTCGAGAAAGGAGAGCCGGTCGTCAGATCGTATTGGCAGGCTATTGAAGGCGACGTCGAGGATGATATTGACAACACACTCAACCCGACATTCGTCAATATCAACAAGATCACTGAAGCCGAGAACACTGCCTTGAAAAACGAGCCTCTTGACCCAACCCTTTACAGACCTGAATAGATGCCGTTGGGTCTTGATTTGCAGACAGTTGTTCGGCCAATTGGTATGGTAAACGAAGAATATCGCTCCTTGCGAAAGAAGGCAAGAGTGTTCTTTTGGGAGGGAAACAGTCCGTGGCGACGAATTGGCCCAATGCAATGCCGGAAAGTCATCGGAATCGAGGTTTAACAGCGGAAAACCATTGATGCTGCTCGTGCACCACAAAGGAAGAGGCCCTACCTACGGATGCATCAGGGAGAGATACTGGTGGAAGAAGCTCTATAACTGTATTGCTGTCCGGTTACGGGCTTCCGAGCAGCGCCAAACTCATGGTCCCCGACGCCCTCGCGAATCGGCTGCGTCCAAGGTGCCGGGAGGGCCAATGAAGAAGATCCATATCGATCTTCAATGTATGGTACCGTTTAACGGGTATTCATATCTTGTGGAAGCATGCTGTAATCTGACAGGCTAGGTAGGAGTAATACCGGCGAAGAACAGGAAGGCTGAGACAGTCGCGAAGCTCACCTGGATGATAGTCTGTCGGTTCGGGATGTTCGCTCACGAGATTATCGATGGAGGCAAGGATTCATCCAGCTCGTGAAGTTATCCGATAACTGGGTCCTAAGGTTATCATCACGTCAGTTTACTGGCCCGAAGCAAACGCAATTGTAAAAAACAGGCACCTCTGACTTATCTCGATCTTGAAGAAGCTTGCGGACAAGGACTCAAGATGGATCTTCTACCTTGAATACGCCGTTCCCGCGGATCGAATCGCGAAACGGCAGAACACAGGTATGCCACCATTCCACTTGATGTACAGCTGAGAGCCCCTGCTTCCCCTCGAAGTTGCGATTCCGACCTGATGCTTGATCAACTGGGATAAAGGTCTCTACGAAGGAGGACTTACTCAAAGCGCGTATGCGGGTTCTCGAGAGAAAAGCGGCGGGTGTGGAGGAAGCGCATCGTATGGTTGCAAAAGCCCGAGCTAAAGTCACGATAAGGTTAACGATACGAACGCTCTGCTGCTCCGCAAGGTGGAATTCAAGATTGACGACCCTTTTGGCTTACGATATAATCCGAGTGGATGCATGTCTTGCAAAGCCAAGCTCCAAGCGCGATGGTGCGGGCCTTACCGTATCTTGAAGATCTTCCCTGTCTCGTACAGCTACCATCTGAAAGAACTCAGCGGGGAGGAACGGAGTAAATCTGAAGAAGGATTCATGCTGAAGCAGTTTGTAAGGGGAGAAGGCAGCCGGTGGGCTAGTATCGACGATAATAATCTGCTTGGATACAAGAAAGTGATTTGTGACGGAAGATAGGGCGATTCGGTCGAGGCTACGCAAGCGGGTCAATATTCTTCCGATGAAGAGGCTCCAAGTCAACTGCCGCAAAGAAAGGTCCAAACGGGTGGAGAAGATGTTAGATGGATTAGGTCAGTTGTCGGAAAGGCTCAGCAGGTGGATATTGACAAAGAAGGGATGATTGTAGATAATGCGGGTGGAAGCACTATCAATATGCTGGACAAAGGCGCGGTGATCGTGGAAGGAAGACGAGTTCATCCAGTGCCCCGGGTGCATTTTGGAGTCCAACTTTCGTGACAGCAGAAGAGAAGGAGAAATACCAATCTCTCACGAGTGAGGGCTCTGGCTCCGACTCGGGCTCTGACTCAGATGCCGTGAGTGAGCGGTGCCAAGCCTGCCTTCGGGGGAGGGAGAGCTGGGTGTAGGGTAACGTTTGAAAAATCACCACCCACCACAACAACAAGAGATCCGAACCACACTGCCTGAAATTCACTCAGTTCGTGAACTGAAAACTTCCGGAGTATGCAGCAAGCAGCGAATGGGTTGTAACCCACTGACTGGGATACAAAAGCGAGTGGAGGTGGAGGAAACAGCGAGTTGCTTGGAGATCGGGCCGGATGATTATTTGGGTCGTCACACACGCAATCGCAACAATACGCCATCCACCCACACAGCACGCTCTGAGAAAAGCCGCGAAGCCGTGAAAAAGGCAAAAGGATTCTCCGAAATTAAGACTGCTCGAGAAATGTACTCATAGTGTGGATTGAAACGGGATCGCTGCGCAGCTTGGGGCAGAAGTTGCGCGAAGCACGTGTATGAATTGCATGCTGCCTACTAAGCGAAAGCAGGGTGGCAGAAGCACAATATTCGGAAATCACGCCAAGGCCCTCATACGCTCCTACATCACACTTTGAATCACTGCATCTCTCACGAAAGAAACTGCTAGCCAAGGAAGTAGCGAGCAAGCACGGATTGCATCCATAAAACCGGGCTTCTGCTCCTCAAACCTCTCTCTTCTTTCTTCCCCCTCCACATCACACACACACTTCCTCTCCACGCACCAGCAACTCTGCCGCTGCTCTCTTTTCTGCCCCGCCCCTCAAGCCTCACAACAGTCTCAAGCTTCAATCCTTCACCGCTGCATACACACCTCTGTCTGCGGTAATCACTGCGCACTTCTCTCCCCTCTCTGCTCGTCAAGCCCTTCCTGCTTGCCCGAGTGTTCACCAGTTGCGTGGTCCACACAAAGCTACGTCAAAAAGCCGCTGCTTTCTCAGCGAATCTCCATCCTTTCCCTCGCGCCTTTCGCGCCTTTCCCTCGAGTTTGCAAACCCTAACCCGACGGCCTAAGACCTCTCGAGAGGCAGTCTTCCGCGACCTCCATCTCTCCCTTCGAACCGACGATCAAATAACCCGACGGCCTAAGACCTCTCGAGAGGCAGTCATCCGCGACCTCCATCTCTCCCTCCGAACCGACGATCAAAAAACTCGACGGCCTAAGACCTTCGCAGGCAGTCACCCCTCCTCTCCTCGGTCCAACCTTCCGCGATCGGATAACAGATGTCGTCCCCTGCTAGCTACACCATCAGCTCTGGCTCTGACTCAAGCTCTGACTCAGATGCCGTGAGTGAGCTCTCCAACGAGGAATGGCAAGCACAAGGGGCGTATCCATACGAGCATTTGAGCGTGCGACCAGTTCGCTGTGGCACCACTGGACTCTATCCTCTCACTCCCCAGTTCTGGAATCACCGGAGCGCTGAGAGATTGCCGTTCTATGGAGGACAAGCTATGATGGGCCCTCGCGGTCCTCTGTGCCACACTGGAGAGATAAGCACTATCATGAGGCCTGTCCACGAGCTCGTGCGCACGCCTCCGCCTGTGATGCCCTACTCTGGCGTCAAGTGGCCCCCTAGAGCACCTCAGGCCGGCCGCAAGAGAAAAGCTTTCAAATATATGCATGACCGCAATGAGGCCAAAGTCATCTACGAGCACTTGAAGGATGAGGGTAACACGATGAGCTACCGGCTTCAGACTACAGTCCAGAACCTCCACAATCTCATGAGCCAAATCTGTCGGCGTGAACAGATTGCTCAAGAAGATCTCTCTACCTACCTCCACGAGATGACAAAGGACATCCAAGAGGATCTCGTCTACATCCCTAACCACTGTTGGGATATCTGGCTTGAACAGGATGGAGGTCTTCTTCCAGGAACTGAAACCATGCGAAACCCGGTCGTTGTGCCCAGAACCAACTTCAAAGAGAGCGATAATATGAATATTCACGATCGGCTCTGGTGCCGACGCTTTGTTGCCAACATAGTCTACGTGCAGAATCACTTCTTTGCCTTTGTTCTTGACCGGAAGCATGCCTTCGTGCACATCCTGGATACCTCTGGAGACGGGAGAGATATTCGCGCTGCTGCCTTTGTCAACTCCCTTGCAGTCTGGCTCAACAGCCTTGGGTTCTCGATGAACTTTGCATTCGCAGTCATTCCCTGCACTCCTCAGCGGGATTGTTTCTCTTGCGGCATACTCTGCGCTCAGTGGCTTCGCCAAACGCTGCGAGACTTCATCGGAGAACGAGTTGAGCAGAGTGGGATCCCGTGTATCAGCCTCAACTTTCGGAATCGACCGTTTCCAACCCTCACAGACTCGTACCCTTCCGGCCTCTTTGTGAGAGATTGGGCCATTCGGCCTCAAGATTACGAGGGTTCTCGTCGCTGGGCCAAGACAGAGATGATGATTAACATCTGCACAAGGCTATCGATCCCAAGCTTCCCTCAATTCTTCAGGCAGGTTGATCAGATCCAGATCCACCTTATGCCCTGTAACAACATGCTCAACCATGTTAGAACGAGACTTGCAGAGCAGGGGCCTCATTGGGGATTCATGACCTTCGCAGGAGCCTTTCGCATTGCTATTCCTGCCTTTGCCCATGAAGGCGAGGGGCCTAACTTTGGGCTTTATTACTTCGACGAACGATACTGCATGCTCCGCCGTCGTAGTGACCACTCTGAGGTTGACTGGGTTACATACACCCCAAGGCCTCTCCCTCCTCGCATCACGCCTGCTACGCTCCCTGTTGGTTCTCATCACCACTGAGAATAGCGAGTATTGATCCTGTGGAGGACTTGGAGGAGTTGGATGGATGGAACTGGTGCAAAAATCGGTGCTGGAACGGGGAGGATTGGCTCTCGTTAAAAGCTTTTCTTTGTGATCTTTGATTCGACTACTAGTTGCTGGAGTTCTGATGCCTGCAGACGGCTTAGTCCTTTGTTATTTACCACGACTTGATCTTGTGAAGCTTCGGAGGATAAATTGGGCGAGTTTCGCGACGGTTGCGTATGAAACTCAGGGGAGGATTGAAGCAGGAATTAAAGGTCCGGGTCTCGTATGCCATGTCCGCCCAGCGGCCCAGTTGAAAGGAGCTGTTTTTCGCAGCCTAGACTAATAATGCATGATTCTCCCTTCAATTTCATTGAGACCCTAACTTGTGACTGACGAGGGAGTGGACTGTTCAATCGCGAAGCCTTGCTAAGCCTGTGTTCAATTGAACCCGGTTGTGGCCTCAAGAGGCGCTGCGGCGAGCGTTTCCAACGCTTCCTTCGGGAGAGATCCCTCTTTCCTCAATCCGTTGCATCGCTCGAGACGAGGAAGGTCTTCGCACGGGGAATCACAATACGGGCGGATGAAGCCGTCAACTAACGTGACAACCGCGTGGTGCCAGCGCCAGTCAAAGGGAGGAATTGCAACCAAGCTGCGTAGTCAAAACCAACAACCACAGTCAACTGGCCGGCATCTGGCGTTTATTGGGAGTCCCCGCAATTGATCAATTGAACAAGACCATCCTGGTCTACACATGTGCCGAATCCGCTGCAGAATGACAAGTCAAAGATCGCGATCTCAAGAGCAAATACCGAGTAAAAGGCAAGGACTGTTGGGTATGAATCTGGCTGGGCAGTCAGCCTGACTTGCATCGCCGGCGGTAACAGAGCCCTGCGAACTAAAGAATTTACATATACGTTCAAACCTCCCCAGATGTATCGCAGCAAAAGCATAGGTTCAAAGGCCGTCTTGCCAATACAAGTGGCCACTGGTTGAAACTCAGATTCGCAGCGGTATACTTACCTCACGACCGCTCCGGAACTGGAAATCTAACCGACTCGTATCTGTAGCTAGGACAAGATAACTCACTTCAACCAACACAGCCTTTCTACGCTTACGCGTATGCTCAGGAAACGCCTTCCAACACTTCGGCCTTTTTGCCCAGCTATGAGGCTTGTGCCCGCCGTGCATAAGGTCCAATACCAAAGGCTGTGGCACGGCGATGACTCTCTCGTCGGCATAACTCCTTAAGATGCTGTTTTAATCGATCCAAGACCGCCATCTCTGGCCTGGTCCCCTCAATGAACCGCACAGCTCAAGTCCACATACATACACTTGCGAAAACATCAACCGTCTGCCTACTTCCCAGATCGCTGCCTTCGTCGAGACAGGTCGAGTGTTTATTAAAGCTTCACACATCGCTGCAGTAAAGTCAAGCGCTATAGCACACATCGCCACCTCAGTCGGTCCGTCAGTGAAATCAGTCGACCACACATCTCTGCCTTCGCTGTCAGTCGGATCAATCGACTTCCGGTCAGGACTTGGCTCGTCGCTGTACACGCTCAACTCTCAAAGATCCTACGGAGCCTTCATCTCGGCAGCTCTGCTCACCTCCACGTGCTCTACGCATCTCACTGGTGCAAAGGAACAGCCTGCAAACTGACAAGGAAGAAGTCAAAGCAAAGACCGCGGGTCCTAGCAGTAGCGCCTGTTATCCAGACCAGCCAGCTGGATGATTCAGAAATCCCAACTTGGCCAAAAGTCGATACAAGCGATCTTAAGCTCGTGGTGGCTGGGTCTGGGCTGATTGAGGCTCTGTGCAATTGCACCCTTGTTGTTGATCTGCATCGCTGACCCTCATATTATTGTCTGCGCGAGCCCCCTTGCTGCAGAGCCTCATCATCTCGCACACATAACTCTCCCGAGGCGGAAGGGCGGAGGAAGGCAGTTCTACACGAAACACCTCGCATCTGCAACTCATCTTCAACTCACGTTTCTCGCCACACAAACACCGAGAAGAAGCATACACGTATTCAGCCGAGTTGAATGCTATAAAACTAGACAACACTCCCTGCCCATCTCTCTTCGACCTTTATCCTCACTCCAGCCTCATCGTAAGATCACGCACACCGACACAGCACACACATCAGACTCACCATGGACTCTAACTCCGACCATTTCCCCGATTCTGTCGAATCCAAAAGCAAGTTCCAGCTAGGATACGAGGCCCTCCGCTTCAGCGAGGGAATCAAGCAGCGCATCAAGGAGCACGGGGACGAGATGCGGCGCATCGCCACGGCCGAAGACAACGTTGAGTCACCCAAGTATAGACACGACTCTGGATATTTTCAGTTGCTTGGGACCAGACTCTTGGTTTTTCTTCAAAGATCGCGCCTTAAACCCGTAGTATCAGAGAGCGGATTCAATTTTGATTTGTAGACGCCACCGGCGGCTTTAGCGAGGCATCGCTTGCACCCCAGTAAATCCTCGTGGACTTGCGCTTAACGGAATCTGCCACCATGTCTATTGACTTTCCCGCCGAGGAGAGGGCCATTATTGAGAGATGGAGGGAGATTGATGCTTTCAAATGCCAGGTAGGCCTTTTCCCCAATGGCTTATTACTCCTGCATAGTGGGCAATGGAATCTGACTCTTGCCGCCTCCCATGTAGGTTGAGATGTCCGAGGGCCGACCCTATTACACCTTCTACGATGGACCTCCATTTGCAACTGGTCTGCCTCACTACGGTCATTTGCTTGCTTCAACAATCAAGGATGTTATCCCTCGTTACTGGTCCATGAAAGGCTACCATGTTGAGCGATGATTTGGATGGGATACTCACGGTCTTCCTATTGAGCATGAGATTGATAAGAAGCTCGGGATTTCGGGGAAGGAGGCTGTTATGAAGATTGGCATCGCAAAGTATAACGAGGAATGCCGCGCTATTGTCATGCGCTATGCGTCTGAGTGGCGGACAACCATTGAGCGACTGGGACGTTGGATCGATTTTGACAATGACTACAAGGTGAGCATCACATGCTTCGTGGTGGTGTCATTTTTTCGCGGATGGGGTAGCTGACAATACTCTAGACCATGGACCCAAGATTCATGGAGTCTGAATGGTGGGCTTTCAAGCAGCTCTTCGAGAAAGATCAGGTCTACCAGGGCTACCGTGTTATGCCCTACTCAACTGTCTTGACAACGGCTCTGAGCAACTTCGAGGCCAACCAGAATTATCAAGATGTCAACGACCCTGCAGTTGTTGTTTCGTTCCCCCTGGTTGACGACCCTGAAACCAGCCTCCTCGCGTGGACGACGACACCATGGACCCTTCCTTCCCACCTCGGGCTGGCCGCGCACCCCGACTTCGAGTACGCCAAGGTGAAGGATGAAAAGACTGGAAAGACGTACATCATTCTAGAAAAGCTCCTCAGCACTCTGTACAAGGACCCCAAGAAGGCTAAGTATACCATTATTGGCAAGATTCTCGGCAAGGATATGCTTGGCTGGAAGTACCTCCCGCCGTTCGACTACTTCTACGAGGATTACAAGGATGTTGCATTCAAGGTTCTCAATGCTACCTACGTAACCGACGACAGCGGTACGGGAATTGTTCACCAGGCCCCTGCTTTCGGTGAAGACGATTACAGCGTTGCTGTTGAAGCCGGTATCGTTACCGAAAAGCGCCCTGCTCCCGACCCCCTGGACGATACGGGCCACTTCTTGTCGCGCGTTCGCGACTTTGAGGGAATGCATGTGAAGGAGGCCGACAAGCACATTATCAAGCACCTGAAGAATGCCGGACGACTGGCTGCCGAGTCGCAACTCCGTCATTCATACCCCATGTGCCCCCGATCCGATACGCCGCTTATTTACAGGGCCCTTCCATCATGGTTCATTCGAGTGCCAGAGAGCATCCCCGACATGTTAAAGAATATTGATGGTACTCACTGGGTTCCTTCTTTTGTGAAGGAACGTAGATTCGCAAGCTGGATCGCTAATGCTCGTGACTGGAACGTTGGTCGAAACCGGTACTGGGGAACCCCGATTCCTCTGTGGGTCAGTGATGACTTGGAAGAGCGTGTATGTGTCGGCAGCATCCAGGAGCTCAAGGAGCTTAGCGGCTTCGAGGGCGAGATCAACGATCTCCACCGGGATAAGATCGATCACATCACCATCCCCAGCAAGCAGGGCAAGGGAGTCTTGAAACGTGTTGAGCAAGTGTTTGACTGCTGGTTTGAGTCAGGTAGCATGCCATTTGCCAGCCAACACTATCCATTTGAGAATGTTGAGAAATTCGAGAAGAGTTTCCCTGGAGACTTCATCGCTGAGGGTCTTGACCAGACCAGAGGATGGTTCTATACTCTTGTGGTATTGGGAACCAAGCTGTTCGGCGTCTCCCCCTTCAAGAACTGTGTTGTGAACGGTATCGTTCTTGCCGAAGATGGAAAGAAGATGTCGAAGCGTCTCAAAAATTACCCCGACCCATCTATTGTCATGGAAAAGTATGGATCTGATGCATTGAGGCTCTACCTCATCAACTCACC